TGCTTGCAAAATTGATGCCAAATGAGTGTCTCTTTTGGCAAAGACCGTCCCTGTGAAAATCAACAGTCACGGGAAAAGACGACAGGGGACAATATCAATTGCAATTGACTGCTCAATTGGGAGGCAGTGAATTTTTCAATAATATCCCTGGACAATTGTGAGGGATGAAGACAGCAAAAAAAATTAAATTGCCCTCCTTTCACGAATCTCCCCGGCGCGCAGTGATTTTACACACAAGTCCACAATGGTGAGAAGAGATTTTTCAGACAAATTGCAGCTGTTTAGATACACAAAAGGACAAATTTGATTGTGCCATCGGGGCGCAGAATGAAAGATTTCCTCCGGGACGGACTCTCGAAGATTTTTGACACTTTTCTCCCGCTCAGCCTAAATCGTGAGGGAGAGCAGACAGGCCAATATAAGTCTGTGATTATTATTTTGAATGATGCAATAAAACACTCAATCTTCCTACTCTATTGTAAAATTATAATTGAAAAACCTTCTATTTGGCCTCTTTGTCTTGCCCCTCTTCTTCGATTGGACGACGCGGAATTACGTCTGATGACTCAAATAATATTAATTTCTCACTATATAGCATCTCGAGATGCTTAAACTCACGCCTTGTTTCGTATACCAGCTTAGTGATTTAGGTAAACTGATTCAAGATTTATATCTTCAAATATCAATCTTAGATTCAAACTCCTCGCTTTTTTAATATTCTTTATAGTAATGATAAAATCAAGGATTTTCAGTAAGAACAGTGATTCTATTTCAACCACAAAAAGGCTCCCAAAGACGCCAAAGGGAACAACCACCTCGCCATGTTTTCGATCTTGACGATGTTAAGAAAAATACATTCGAATTTATAGTTTATCATCGATGATAGTGTGTCATAAAGGAATAAAACTTGACGAGAATAGCAGTTGTAATTTTTATATGCGCCTCTTTCAGACTATTTCCCTCTCTGCTGGCTAATGTGAATAAAATTTTACAAAATAGAATATTAAAAAAGGAGTGAAATAAAAGATGAATCTTGTTTGTCCGCCTGAGAATTTTATAGTAAGAGAGCAATATTAAATAATATCGCCTCGCGATGGTCAAACAATATTCAAATATTTGAAACTATTGAGTGAGAAAATGAGGAATGTGACTAATAAAATTAAACCTCCATATAATTTTTATGCAAGCAATTTCAACTGAAGCCACACATCGAGTCTCGTTTGTATCGAATAAAAGGCACAGAATCCAAGATGAACCTCATATTCTCAAACCACTTTATGACGCTCGCTTTGAATCCTTCCTCCTGGCGAGTCTTCTCTCAGCCTCAAACATTTATGACGGTTTCCGTGCCGAAGAATAAAAACCAATCCCTTAAATGAGAAACATTCCATCAAGAAATCAACCACATTATAAGCTCGAGTTCTTGATTATAATGAAGTCTTTCGCTCCATCTTCCAAATACAGTGCCATGTCAATTGCGTGACAGTGAAATTCCCCGTCAAGTGATCATCTCAGGTAATTAAGCTGCTCTTAGAACATTGTTAAAAATGAGCATGGTATTTATGGTGGATCGTGGTGAGAAAGATTGACTATTAATCAATAAAATGTTGCCTGGAAAGATACAGAGAAATCCATTTGGGCGATTGTCATCATTTCAGACTCACTTTATTGCTCAATCTTTCTCCCTATTCAATTATATAGCACCAACAAACTTGTTTAGAAAATTTACACGATCGTCCAGTTTTGTTGTCTTTAGGAAAGTTTAGGGCCTCATCGAAGTCGGACAGTTAAATACTCCTTCAATAGAAATGGCTGAAAATGCTTTTCTTAGGAAATAAAATTGACTTATTCGCATTGGGAATGAGTTAATCTGCTAGCAAATTCAACGGAACTTCCTGAGCATCAGGTGAAGTCTTTGACTGCAGCAACTTCGCATGCCTCAAAGGAGGCGCGATTGGGTGCCATTGGGAAGCTGGTGAGATAAATAAATTGATGCTGTGATAATCTCTTGAGCCGCTTCAATTCATTTGTATCGCATCTTTTGTCGCCACGGCGGGAAATTACCATTTAAAGTGGTGGAGAAAAATTAATATGAATGTGTCAGCATCTCATATTTTCTCATCTCACACCCCGCCACGCCTCGTGTGGGGTCTCATGTGGGAAAACCACATGGAAAGTACACGTGCGGGTGGGGGTAAAAAATTTTGGGATTTGCACATTTTTGTAGTCAAGCTAGAAATCTTTATAAATTGAAGCTAATTTATACACACACGCGAGGCGAGGCAATAATGTGTGTCCCCAAAAAGAAAATGAGACATTTTTCCCTGGTGAGCACACGGAATGCACAATTTTTCACGGAATGTTCAAGTGTGAGAGAGAGAAAGGCGAGGAGGGATAATGAGATTTTCCTATAGGGTTTGTCTCATGTGCCAAGGACCACCTGTTGCACGGTGTCTCTTGCCTAAGCATATTTATTTCCTCTCTTTAGGATAATTGTCAACTTTTGCGCCTATTGAAGAGGTGAGAAAGGAGACACCCGAAAGAGAAACATTCCTCCTTTTGACTCCTTTCTCTGAGAGTTGTTTAGAAGCCTTACAGCTCAGGTATGACACACAGGAAGATCCCTTTGTGATGATCCGTCAACTTCCTCGACGGTAACTGAGCCGGAGATGCGACCAAATCCGCTTGTTGGGGATTAAAAAATCAAATCTCTTTGCCATTAGGGACACACCAATGTTACTGAGGTATTGGACAACTTTTCTTGGTCCGCCCGCAACTCGACACTTTTGTCGACTCACTCGCATCTCCAATTGCCAACGAATTTCCCTCTCACCTCCGCCGGAGGATATAAAATTGAGACTTTTTTTCGATTTAAATGCAAATTCTCCTCCCTTTCCGCGAAACAATAACATAGCCTCAATTGCCAGGCATTTCCCGCCTTTTCTTCTGACGCGAGTGTGTCTCAATGGGCTAAATTAGCGGGCTTACATGATGATTTTTTAATGCAAAAAAACAAAGTACAGAAGAGGAATTGTGATAAATTCACATTTTATAGCTGCACATCAAATTCTCTAATTATTTAATTATTTCCTGCAATTTCTCACTCGTGGGTGAGAAATGACTGACACTGGATTCTCTTCATGAGAAAATCCCGCGCCAGATAAATTTTCCCTGCTCATCTGCCGCCTGAAAAAAAAACAGAAGAAGAGAGGCTGAGATGGCAGTGGATGAGGAAGAAAAGAAAGATTGAGCTTATTGCCGGCTTCAATAGGAAGGAATTACTCACGAGCGATGCATAATTGATCGCTTTTTAAGGTGCTCCCATCGATGCTCCTCCTTTTCAGCATCACCACCTCGCGCTGGAGCATCCGCGACTGAATGGACATTAACAATGGGAAATGATGATCGGAGAACCAATAAAATGCTGAGAAATGTGAACCAATGGATTGTGAAACTCTAATTAAAAATTAATATATTATTCTCGCATTTCTCATGCCCTTCTTCCGAGCCGCATCAACCCAAAAGTCTCCCACGAAGTGAGGTGAGAACATTTCATCAATTGATTTCCACTCAATTTACTTCCCATGCCCATTTTCCTCCCATTGACAATTCAATAAAATAAATAGACTTCTTTTGTCAATCTGCGGGCTTCGCCTCATAAATTTTCTCACTGATTCAGCTGCGCGCCACGGATTTGCCCACTGAGCATCGCCAGAAGAACTTAAGGAATCAAAATTAAGCCAAATTTATTGAAATAATCCGACTAAACGGAGATTCATCATCTAACAAGGGCTCCAGAACCAGTTGAGGAAGACGCATAAAATCACACGAGGCCGTGAATTGCAACAGTCTCTGAAAGATTGTTTGCTCAAGAAAGATCCTCTTTACTTAATGCATTTAAAACTTTACCGAAACCATGAGAATATGAAGCGATTATTTATGGAAATTTGTTTGAATGCCAAATCAATGAGTTATGATATTGACTTGGAAACAGTCAAAATAGATCATCAAAATTTATTGCAACTGCTTTAAACTTTTAGCATTTAGCGCAAGGTCATATTGGCGAAAATTGCTGTGTTGAGTTGAAAAGTGCTTTTAAAAGACTCGAAGTCAATTTTCAAGTTATAAGTCATTACCAAAAAAAATCACAAACTTGACATTATTCCAAATACCCCAGAAATGTTCAGATCGGCTTTGCACAGTTCAATACAAAATAAATTACTGGAATTTTTCAAAGTAAAATATTTATATCCATTTATAAGGATCCAACAATATGAAGACATTTTTCATTTATCAAAAAGACGGCACCTGCTGGTCCAAGACGGACGATCTAATCTTCAACTTCCACCGAGGAAACGGCTCATTGGATGGTAATTTAGAGGACTCTGTGAATTGGCTTTAAATTGGTCGTCCAGGCAACAAGGAGTGTGTGCGGTCAAGGCTTGAGAGAAAAAAAGAAGAAGAGATTCGTTTCACACCTTCGACGGACGTCTAAAAAGTGACCACAGAGTTCTGAATGAGCCAAAATAACTCCCAATTGTGTGTGTGAAAAGAGAGGATGCATTTCAAAGGGCCACGCTAGACATCCTGGCACCACTTTTTCTCTCCTTCTTGCCTATCTTTCTCAGGGATCGTGCGTCTTCCACCACGCCCCAGTCTCTCGGATGCTCAGTGAATCACCCTCGAGCGAAAAACCATCGATCTTTGTGGCCTTGCGAGTCTGCTGGAGTCATAATTACAAATTCAGGAATTCGTTAGTTGAACAAATAAACATCTTCCAGCTCGTCTGCCGTCATTTTCAGTCCCTTAATGCAGTGCTCGAGACTCTCGCATGGGATTATTCACAGTTGTGAAGGTTTGTGAATGAAGACGAGAGAATTCACCTTGTTCTTTGTGCGTGTCACGCATTGATGAGAATGAATGAAGTCACCCGAAAATCAACAAGTCATCAATATCATTGTGTCACGGAAATCAATCGTTGCACAAAATTTCTCCCACACTTTCTCAAACCTGCCCTCATTCATCTACTCAAGTTATTTTATTAAATTTACAGACTGAGGACAACATCTAAGGGGATTTTTTCTCATAGTCCATTGACGTTTGCATTGGGTTCTTGCCGAAATCTTGCTGCCTCCTAGCCATTAAATAAATTTACCGCCTTCCTCCAGTGCGTGTGTGTCTCTTTGTCTAAACTCCTCGCCTCTCACCATGAATCTACCGTGAATTTACTTGTGCAACATCAGATTTCCCGAAGTGTCGTCATCGTGGAGGCTGTGGAAGATGGACTTCATCTCGCACAGGGACAATTGATGGGCATTCTTCTGTAAGGAGAGCGACATAAGAAATCATCACACAGAGCATTTTGGGAACAGTTACAAACCGAAATAGCGCCACAGAGTGACACTATTGTCCGCATAACAGCACCACAGTCGCTGGGAACTGGTTCGAAAGCCCGCTTTCCAGCATTCCAGTCGCGACTAAAAGTCACTTGAGCGAAAACTGAAGACACACTTCCCAGGACAACCACCATGGCGAGCATGAAGCAGAGATTTGGCGGCAAAAGTGAGCTAATCGACCAAGAAATACCACAATTTTAATTAATTCTATTGCTTGTAATGAAATTTAATGACCAATTTCAACGATGAAATGATCACCAGAAAGCACTAGACTCAATTACCTCTTCTGTGACATCTTGATTGAATGGAAATGCGTCGAAAATGTGCAAAAACACTCACAAAATATATTTCAGAATTTCACTGATTTATTTGAATTTCAAGGACTGTTATCCTCGCGATACCGTTGAGCACAACTGAGAATCTGAACTGCACTTGAGAGGAAATCGGAGTCCTTTTATATAGTCCTGGACAGAGTGGCCAGGACTATTGCGCAAGGTGAGAAACATCTCCGCAACTTTCCAGCATAAATATTCATATAATTCTTTTCTGCAAACATTCTTCTCCAAATACTGGATGAAAAACAGCCTCCCCTCCCCCTCACATTTACCATTAGGGTGATTTGGTGGGAAATAGAGAAAATGCCCCACAACCGATGTGGGATGAAGAAGAGCCTCAGCCAGGTGAATCTTTGAAGTTTGCAGTTCCAGCAATTCTTCAAAAACAACTTATCCACTGTATTTGAGATGTAAATATTATTGTGGCATTCCACCACGGTCCATCCGATAATCCCTCTTCTGTGCCACCGCCTAATCCCATCAATCCGACCACGTCGAGTTTCTCTGTTTACCAAGGAAAACAATGTGGGTGGCTCACTCCCACCCACACTGCCGTCCGCCGAGTGGGGTTCTCGAGGTAATTACATAAACATGGAATTTTAACAATTCTTCAGGATAATTTTCCCGTCGACGGCACAGATGATGACACCCGTTCGGTCAATATCCGACATCATGCAAATTTTCTAATGAGCTAATTTGACAGACTTTACTTTAACGGAGATGAGAGAAGATTTTCCTGGTATAATGACGCAATTCGATAACTTTATAATAACTCTATATATTTGATAAGAAATTACCGAATGCAAATGATTTTTAAATAAATAATAAATAGAATTCAGTAAAGAATGACGGCGAATATCTTTTGACAAGCCTCAAAACAAGAAAAACTAATTAGAGATCATTCTGAAAGTGCCTCAGATAACTAATGCTTCTTAAGCTACATCAAATTCATCAGCAGGTAGAACAAGAGCTCTTCATTAGCCGAGATTGTTGCTCGTTAGAGAGCACACGGGAAGAGGAGATCATCAAGCGTGGAGCACATTTTGCCAATCTAACGAGTCACTGATGTGACTTTATGTGAACTTCCTCATGTGGACAAACGCACAATTTCTTGTGCATTTCATTACCCGCACGACACTGTGTCGTTCGTTTTAATGTAACAGGAAGTGTGGTGAAAGAGATTCCATTAGAAATTATCTCTTGTAAAATTGTTTCATTTACGCACTCTCGGCGGGCGCATTGTCCAGACCTTGTGATGATAGCAATTCAGAGCACTTGTGCTTATTCTAACAATACTGGCAAGAATTCTATGTGGTTCGCCGTGGTGGAGTGATCGTGGCGATCTTGCATGCTGCGGGGGGAGAAAGTTGAGCGTGGAAAATTGCGAGAGAGGCGCGTTTTCACTCTCGGGATTCGCGGCAGTTTTTCTCCCTTTCGCTCAGTGTGTGCAGTGATCTCTCGGCGGAATCAGTCACTGTGGCAGTCAGATGATCAATCTTCCCGACCTTGACCCAATAAGAGCACACTTTTTCGTCCCACCAGCGCAAATTCAGCAAAACACCAGCAAGCACGCTCCTCCGCCTCCCGCCGCACACCGCCCCGATCGGCGGGGTGGGCCGCGCCAGCAATGGGAAGCGACCGATGGAGATGGCGAGTGCCCCAGTGGAGGCCAAACAATTACACTCATGGCACCGTGGCGTGCAATTGCATCTGCTGTGTGTGCGTCTCGGGCGTATGGAGAGAGAACGATGGGAAGGAGAGGCGCAGAGAATCAGCCGAGATATATATTTTGACGAGAAGAAAAAGAATCGCGAGCTGTGCTCCAGAAACATACAACAGCTTTATTTGTTGTTTATCCGGCGTTCGCGGTGGTTGTTTTGCTTTTCCGCGCGATCAGTGGCATGTCTCATGCGACGCGTCGCTAGTGCATCCAACAGTTATCCACTCTGCACTGTTTTGCACCGCAGCCACACCGTGTTTATCAGCACTCCTCGCCCGATAACTAGACCGTATGTGTGTGCCTTTTTGCACTCGCGATCGCGCCCGTCTCGCTGCAGTGATTGCCAATCCCGACGCACTCCCGCGTGTCATCCAGTGCAGCCCAAGAGTGGCGATCGTGCAATCTCGCCAGCTCAGTGTGAACGCGATGCTGCCGGCGATCGCACCATTCGCACTGCGCTCCGCCGGGACCACAAGTGCTCGCGACTGATCCTGCCGGTGCAGTCATCCCCCGCCAGCGCGTCCGGCCGCAGCGCCGCCATCCATGACTCCAGCGACTTCCTCCAATGTACGTAGATCCTCGCGCTGCGATCTGCGCAGAAACGCGCGTGCGCGATCATGTAAAGTAATAACTCATCGGCTTGTAATTTGTGTGTGCTTCATAATACGTGAAATATTTCGCATATAAAAATTAATTACTCAACGATTTTGTGCCATCTCAACTGTGAACGTGATCACAAGAGGATGTAATAAAAAAAATGTGCAGACATCATTAAAAAAAACCGCGTCTTGTGATAACGAGACTTGTGATCTTCCTTTTCACTGACTCGTGTGCGTTGGAGGCTTTTTTTGTGTGTCTGCGCACATGGAAAAAGTGCATGAGATCAGTGTGAAAAATTCAGCAATAATTGCGTATACAAGTCTCTTGTGGCCAGTGTGTGTCTTTTGTCCGCTCGCTCGCCAAAGCCGCACATAATATTGATGATAAAGTTTCCATCTGTTGACACTTTCGCTGCACCACTGCAACTGCCTTATCAGCTCTCTCTCTCTCTCTCTCTCCTTCTCTCCAGAGTGACCACAGCACTGCGATTATCCCACTTTTCTCGTCACCCAGAGGCGCACATTCGACAAAATTTCGTTACACATAGAGATAATGGAAAAATTCAGCACCGTTTTTTCCTCGACCCTCGTGAGGAGGGTCTTCTATCAGAGAGACATGGTCGAGGCCTTCCGATAGTGGCTGTCACCGAAAGTCCTCTAAAAATACCCCAATATTGCGCGACTAAATCTGGGAAGAGCGCCGAGGGTGAGCGGCAAAAAGTGAATATAATATACGCCGCACAGCCATGTACTTATTTATACGTCTCTTCGCACCACTTGTGGTCTCTGTGATAAGAATTTTCTAGTTCAAGTTCAACCGACTAATCTCGCTCGACAATGAATTGAAAAACACGCGGACGCGCGGAGAGACGAAGAAAATCTGCGCGCACGAAAGCTCTCAATCAAGTTCACGGTTGCAATAATATACATTTCTTTTTCCTCTCATTTCTTCCTCATCGCGCGCACACACACTAGTCCCACGTCAAAACACAGTGTCTGTGTGTGTGTGTGCCTCAATTCTGCGTGATATATTGGTCCATTGACTCGATAAATAACGCCTTTTTTCGGCGCTGCGCACACTCCATGGGACAGGTATGGACGATGAAGCCCGCGCGCATCCTCATGATGTCATCTGAGCCCATATGAAAGACACCCAGAGTGGCGGACAGAGCGATAAAGGCTGCAGAAACTAGAATAAATTCTCAGACACTTGAATCACTCTATATACTCGGGCATTGTACACCCTCGCACACATCTGAGCTGTGCATCAAAACAGAAGTGAACCCAGTGCAGAACGCGATAGTGCTGACTTATCGCAATGAGATATTTCCACACTTTTCCTTGGGCATTATCACACTGATTACAGCGAGACTTTCAATGTCAAGCTCTTTCAATATGACGCGCAGTGAGGGTGTAATAAAAGATCTCAATGACTCACTGTGCATCTTTGCCACCCAAAAACATAGTTGAATCAATTCCATGCTCAATTGGAGTATGTGACAAAGTTGATTCGTTAAATATTTGGCAATGGAAAGTTGTGGAAATCAGTTGTTATGGTTTGTTTTCACTGTGATCTTTGCCAACAATGCGTAATGCACACAATTGTCCAAGGGACATAAATAATTTCTTATCAATTCAAGAACAAAACATTCAGAGTTAATAAAGAGTCACAATGATAACCAGATTTTCTACGTTTTGTTTACAGCTTTTAAAGAATGAATGACATCACAAGAACTAGTCAACTTTTCACTGCGCCAATATATTTATTAATCTATCGAATCTTGATTAAATTTCCTTTTTTCTCGGAATGGATTCCTTTGGTCATTTGACCAAATTCTTCATTTATGTAATTGGAAAATTACAATAACTTGTTTCCCCATTAAAAAAGGTCTTTAAAAACAATAAATTTCAGCCCATTAACAGGAACAGATTGCCATAATAATACCATCAGGCTACGATTGAGGCGATGTCTTAAGTTCAAACTGAAATTCCACGTCTGCATTCTGGTTTGCCCGTGGCAGATACATATGATTTCTACTCGAGAGAGGAAGAAGAAAAAAAATTATGCAAAACATAAGGGAGATAATAAAGTCCCATTTGACCTTCGCGATGATATAATAAAAAAGACAACAAAAGGATTATATAGGGGAATCCTCATTGGCAACATTGTATATTCCGGTCCCCTCTGAATTTAATTAAACGCCTGACCATGATACGTGTGATCGTTCCCCTTTTGGACTGTTTCCACCAATTTTTACACAACTCTCGCCTTTGTCTTCAATTCCAATTAAGAAAAATCTCCAAAACATTTCACACTGAAAAAAACATTCTAACACTGACCATTTGTGATCAGGTTCTATAAAACTTGATTATCTCTCCGGTGGGCGATCGCATTCCTCCTGCAATCACCATAATCTCTGGTGATGATCGCTTTTGGGCGGGCGCAATCAGAGTGATCCTCCAGATCAGCGCCTTGGATCAATCGCGATCGAGATTCCCCCATCGTCAGGGTGACGATAAAAACACAAACAAGATTCCTAAATGTAAATACCTTGAGCGAAAACAAATTAATATTTAATGAGGCTCGCGAATTCACCTGTGATCTCTTGCGGTTTCGCGGTAGAAATCGCAAGGTAATTTTTCAACTTGGCCGATGTGTGAAACCTGGCGAAATTTGTCTCTCTAGGATCTATTGGATGATGTGATTAATCACCTCACTTTCCGTTACTCCTATTTTTAGCCACTCGCTGCCCACAATGGCTCTCCTGGCCTGTTTGCTCGCGCATCTTCCAGTTTGTCTTGAGGATGGTGAGGCGCGGGCACGCAGAAAAAACCTCCCAGCATGACCATTTGGCTGAATGAATGCCGAATTTTCGCGAAACACCTTTACTTTTGGCTCCGATGCGATGGCATTAGCATAAAGAGAGGTATTCAAGATCATCATGTGTGCGAATAGAATGTGGTTTATTGCGAGAGCCAATCGGCATAATCAGCAATTAAAAATCGCACTTACGACCGCTCTGCGTGTCTTTGGACCAAAGCATGCCCAATAGAACTAGTTTGGAACTCTTCGAAAAATCATCCGCACACGGCTTGTCCGTTTTTCCCCCTTTGCTTTTTTCGGTGTGCGCCTCTCGTCGTGTATTTGGTCAACTTGTCCGATTGGTCGTGTACATTTTAACGTTATTTTTCCAACCGATGATGCCGCTCCATGTGAGAATACAAATCTCACTCTCATGCCTGTCTTGTGCCTCTATCGCTGTGGACTACAAGTCTTCCAGCACACCGGGAAGAGTGTCATTTAGAGCCGGAGTGTCTGCTCGTCCAGAACTTCTCTCGCTCCTCCGCACTCCCGCGACTCCCTCCCTCTGGCCACCCAACCACGCGCGCGTCCACCGATCCCGGAAACTTGTGCCTCCCATAACGGACTGCGCCGCATCTCGCTCTCCCACAGTGGCCAGAGAGGTCTCTGGCAGCATCCTTCCCTCGTGTGCCGCGAAAAAGTGCGCAATCATCGTGAAAAGTGAGTCCCTTCGTCGCCGCCCAGCGTGAATTGTGTGTACGTGTTGGCAAAGAGTTCCGGGCGTGAGGAGAGTGGCGATTATTTGCTTAGAAAAAGAATCACCCGATCGGCCGATTGGCAAAAGAAGCGTACAAGCAACACTCTCTTTTGGCTGCCTTACGAGGTGAATCAACTTTTTATGTCTTCTGCTGGTCTTTCTGAATTTTTCTCCAAACACCGAATCCCAGTAAGCAAATAACATGAAAAATTCTTGGAGCGCCTCTCGAGAGGCTTCTCAGCACTTTTATCACCACTTATCGCCTCCACTTTCTCGACTTTCTTCATCGTCCGCCTACATTTTGCCCGGTCATCTCTCGCCCTGATAGCCACTATCAGCCACAAGACTAATTACACAATCGGCTTTCTTCAAACACACCAGTGAAATTCGCCCACTTTTCCAGCCAAGTCACTGCTGCAAAAACACGTGCTAAGTCACCAATTAATTCTCATATGCGACAATCTTTTGCACCAGAAAGCAAAAAATCACGACAAAGTGATCTCCTGACATGAATCAAAGCGTGTACAGAAATTGTCTCAAGTGCAGTCCGGCAATTCCAGAGTGTCTCAGCCGGAGAGGAAGAGTGACGAGGAAACCATGACCTTCGATAATCATCAATCACCGCGCGATCGTGTGGCTCTGCTGATTAATTTACGTTTTTTTTCTCTCTCTTCTTATTCAATATTAATTCTCCAACACGTTGAGAGAGCCTCTCAGCGTTTGTACACTTTCTCACAAGACAAACACCATAACTGAAGTCCGGCATTCCGTCACTGATAAATTTGTTACAACCATCCGGTAATCATTCAGTGATCATTTGAATTCCGCAGCAAAAGCACTTTAGCCGAGACACATTGCAGAGTTGAAAGTCACACAGTTGATTAGATAAATGATAAAGTGCCGTGCACAGAAGGATGGAAAATGATGGAAATCTTTGTCTCTTGCAGCTCCCAGTCACAGATATGTCTGTAACCCTGATCCTCATCTACATTGTAGCAGCTTTTGTACTCTGTTTGTTCTTCCGCAACCACCTTCTGCATGCTATCATCAAATGCAAGCAATTCGAAACGTCTCACGTGACGAGCGATAAGGATATTTACAACATTCCAGGTGAGTAAAAATTGGGAGAATTAATCACCGACTCAACGCTCTCAAATGCACTCAATTTTCCAGGACCCACGAGATTTCCCATTGTCGGGACAAAATGGATCTATTTCTGGCACTACAAACTCAATCAGCTGCACAGCGTCTACAAGGACCTCAATCGCCGATATGGCAGAATAGTGCTGGAAGTGGGAGACGGGATCCCAGTAGTTCATCTCTTCTCCAAGCAAGACATCGAGAAGGTCCTCAAATACCCCAGCAAATATCCCTTCCGGCCACCTTCGGAGATCTTTGTCTACCACCGAAGAGCGCGGAAGGATCGCTACTCCTCCTGCGGAATCGTCAATGAGTAACTTTAATTGAGGACACTTCGTGCGTGCAATTTAATGAGGAAGATTCGTTCTTTCCTCTTTTTTCCAGACAAGGAGAAACGTGGCACAAATTGCGTTCTGGTCTCACGCCAAATCTCACCTCACCGCGAATCCTTATCGGCTTCCTGCCGATTCTCAATGAGATTTGCGACGACTTTATCGAGCTGATCAAGATCAAGCGCAACAGCGACAACGTTGTGGTGAACTTCCAGGAATTGGTGAACGCTTTGGGCCTGGAGGCGCTCTGCGCGCTCCTTCTGGGCCGCCGCATGGGCTTCCTGGCTGAGAATCCCTCTGACCAGATGAGGAGTCTCGCCAGTGCCGTCAAGACACTCTTCATCACCCAGCGAGACTCCTTCTTCGGCACGGGCTTGTGGAAATATCTGCCCACGAAGACCTGGAGAGACTTCATCAAGAGCGAAGACACCATTTACGAGTGAGTAGAAGCAAAAGAAGATGAGTCAGAGAATTGTCTCTCAATTTGTTGTGTAAAATATTTGCAGAACAATTTCCTCAATCGTGGACAAGGCGCTGGACGATGAGAAGCGCGAATACAACGATCTCGATGTGAGGAACATCTTCTACAGCATCCTGTCCACGCCAGAGCTCGATGTGAAGGACAAGAAGTCCGGAATCATTGACCTCATGACGGCCGGAGTGGAGACTCTGGCGCACACGCTTGCCTTCCTGCTCCAGCACCTCTCGCAGAACTCCACCAGTCAACTCCAGATTGCCGACGAGTTCCGCAACTGCCCGTCCACGCTCTCCATGGACCACCTCGCCGAGGCGATGTACACCAAGGCCTGCATCCAGGAGTCCTACCGACTGTCGCCCACCACCTTCGCCATCGCGCGCGTCATCGAGGACACGAGCGTGAGCCTGTCCGGCTACAATCTGCCCGCCGGCACCTTCGTCCTCTGCCACACCATGATCGCCTGCCACTCCGAGGACAACTTCAAGTACGCCAACCACTTCCTGCCCGAGCGATGGATCACGGCGGGCAAGGACAGCTCGCGCTTCAATCTCCGCCATTCACCCAATCTCGTGCTGCCGTTCGGCATCGGACGGCGATCGTGTCCGGGAAAACGATTTGTCGACATGGAGCTCACGCTACTCATTGCAAAGGTACCATTTACCCCTGTTTATAGCCCTCTCTATGTATAACTAATGTATTCTTCTCGCCCGTGCAGATCATTCGATCCTTTCAAGTGGAATATTGCAGTGAATTTGACGCCACATTTGAGTTTCTTCTTGCACCAAAGACTCCTGTCAATATTCGTTTCTGCGATAGACGTTAAAATTCTGTGCTGTACACCCCGCAATATCATATTTCATACTCAAGCAACAAGAGCATTTAAAAAACAATCCTGTATAAAAGCGAGAGAGAGAGAGATGTCAATATTTTGTAGTGATGTAATGCATTTTTAAAATATATATTTTATAGTAAATTTAATTTTAATGTCTTTCCTTCACTGACTACAGAAATTTCTGCACTTTTCTCATACTTTGTCGACATTTTATCTTTGTGTTTCTTCTTGTTTTCTTTTAGTTAAGCTGTGGATATTTGATTATTATACATATTTTAGCTATACAAGCGGGGTATTTTTTTTTTCAATTGCACATTTCATTCTTTTTGACTACAAATTCACATTACTTTGTTCAATACTCTTTTTCTGACTCTTGTTTCTAAAAAAAAATTCTAGTATTTGGATAAGGTATTAAATTCGTAACTAGTAATTGTAAGATTTGGTTTACTTTTTTTGCACAGGTCATTGAGAAGGGGAGGGTATTAATAAATATTAAATATAATATAGTTATTAGAAATATTGAGGACTAGCATTAATCATATCAATAAGGACAATATTCATAATTCACTTATAAACGTCTACCAAGAGTGAGTGATATAAACTCAAGCAGTTCTTCTTTCTTTCTTTTTTCTACTTCCTAATAAAATCTATCAATTCACACAGAGTGATCTCTAGGAAATACACATTATTTTAAGTACAATTTCTTTGTAGAATGATTACTTTGCAAAGTCAAATTGCTCTTCAATCATCATAATAATAAATTTCTAAATGGAAAAGTGACAATCACAACCGAAAATACTACAGAGAAACATGTCAATCGTATCATTTTGATGGATAAATTTCTCCTAAATCACTCACAAATAGAAATATCTTCACTGTAACTCCGTAAACAAAAAAAGGGATCGTTCGTGTGGCAAAACAGGAACAGTCAATAGAAACATTAATGTGAGGTGCTTTTAGCTACTGAGAAGCTCGACAGAAAATGCATCATTCAGACCACAAAGAGACTGAGAGAATTAACACACAACAGTGTTGGGTGATACCAAAATGCACGTAGAAGCAGTGTGAAACATTGAATGAGAGCAGCAAGTAAACAGAGAACTCTAATCAGGGATTCTCCCAAAGTGACTGAAGGCGTTGCGTGAGCATCTACACGTAGCGTCTGGTGGTCGTTGGTCTGGGCACGCCGGAAGTGCGAGGTCGACTCGTCTTGCTGCGTATGGGATCTGACACATTGTCGGTATTGTAGCTGAGGTACACATGCGAGAGGTCCACAAAGTCCGGCTGTGCAAGTTGCGGAGAAGAGAGAAAAAGAGATTGATACAATTTGTCATAAGTAGACCTTGTTCTAACAAAACACAAAAAAAATGTAATTCGACTCACCTCTTTGTTGGAGTTTCTGGGCTCGGGCAGATTCTTCCGCATGTTGTTCCCCGTGTAGGCCACGCACTTCAGCTGCCACTCCCCAATGTCTTCATTCCAGTGCGTGAAGCGCTCAATCATCGTCTGATACTCCTTGGGGATGTAGGAATTCAGCACGAGTTCGCACAGAGCCAACTCCCTGGACAAACTCCTGATGCTCTCGTAGATGCCCTCCTTTTCGCGCTGCTGCTCCTGCTGCTGATCCGCCAGCTCAGACTTCACACTCATCAGCATCTGCATAACACGCTGCAGCTTCTTTGTCTTGCCCACACACTCCTCCTGTAGCGACGAGTACCTCTCCTCAATGTCAATCCTCTCAGCCTCCTTCTTCTGCAGCGACTCCTTCAGCTCCTGCTCGCTCTTCGTGCGCATCTCCAGCTCATCGAGATACTGCTCCAGCAGCTTCTCCTGCTCGTTCGCCTTCTCCAGCAGATTCTCCCCACCGACCAGAATCTTGTTCTCCAGCGATTGCAGCTTCGCCCTCAACTGATCCTGCTCAGACTTGGCCTTGTTCAATTCCTGCTCACTCTCCAGCGCCTTCTTCTCCAGCAATTCCTTCTCAGCGTCACTCTTCTCCTTCTCCTTCTCGTCATCCTGCAACTTTCGACTTCCCTTGGACTTCTTCTTCCTCTTGAGATTCTCCTCATCATCATCCTCGGGCACATCATTCTCCTCACCCTCCTCATCGCCATCCTCCGATGAGTTAATCTCAAACACACCCTCCTCCAGTTGCCTCTTGAGCTCCGCAATCTCCTCCTGAAAGTGCCTGAGGAGGGCATCTTTGGGCTCGTCATTGACATGCGTGCGATTCTGTATGTTCTTCGCCCGTCCGGCATATCTCAAGGTTGATATTGTCTCTACATAGTTACTGTCCGCCGGACTGATGCTGGCGCACATCACCGTCTTGGAATTGCCTCCCAGGGAGTCTTGCAGTAGTCGTGTCAACTTGGAATTTCTGTACGGAATGTGTGTACTCTTGCCATCCACCAGGGCACTTATCACATTTCCCAGAACCGACAGGGACAGGTTGATCTTGGTAGCCTCCTTGAGACGCACCCCAGTGGCTTGCGTCTTGTTTTGACGCTCTGAGCCCTGCAAAAGACGGTGTGGGAAAAAAACAAAAAAGCCATATGATTAGCATTCCATCACAAATTGCGCAAAAATCATTTTCATGCACAAGGCTACCATGTAATATAGCGCAAAAACGACAACAATAAATTCTCTGTCTTCCTCCTTCTGTTTGATGACTATTTCACTTGTATTTTCTCCCTCCCATGCTCATCTCCTCTGAACCGCGCTCAAAGAGGCACTCTTTAACACTCGGTAACACTCATGCAGACAAAAAGGCATTCCTCCCCCCTTTGCCGCCGCCGCCCCAGACTTGTGTAAATAAGTTGACAATATATTTCTTATTATATTTGTCGTACTCACAGCTAAATCAACCAACTGTAATTTGCCCATTTTCACGTGTTGCTCGCCATTGTCATCAGTCTCACTGGATTCCACTGTGATGGAGAAAATTGCGTGCGATCGTGACGATTCCGTGTTCATCTTCGTGGCACCAACAGCGCGATTCTTGTTGCCCAATTTCATTATATTCTCCAAATCGTCCGCATTGTGGACAACATAGCCACTCAGATCTTTCACAAAGACCCCAATGTCCGAGCGTTCCTTCACCTCCAGACTCTTATTCAGCTGCTTGCCCAGCAAATCACGCACCTCCTCGTTGTAGATCTCCATATAGCTCACGCGCACGAGGAACTTCTGATTCTCCCTCGCCTTCGCAATGTGCCCAAAGATGTGGGCAAAGGTATTGGGGATGATGCCCTTTGTCTGTGGCGAAGACGGATTGCCAGACATCGTGTAGGTCTTGCCCGTTCCCGTCTGTCCATAGGCCAGGATCGTACCATTGTAGCCCTCAAGAACCTTGTCCACAATGGGCCGAGCTGTGTCCACATACAGATCAATCTGCAAGAAGAATATGCGAAACATTACAATGCTGATCAGCAAGCCACGTTTGTAGAAGAAACTGAAACAACTAGGCATTTTTTGGGGATTTTCCTGACGCACAAACTCGAAGATAACTAATTGTTGTGTTTGGTGAGACATTTGTCTTTTTTAATTGATACAATCAATTGGAGTAAATTATTGAATTAGACACTTCTCCACGCACAATTTGATGCCCACATTTTATTGCCATGATCGCGCCACAAAATCCATCCGGCGATCAGTGGCGGATTTTCCATCAAATTATTACAATATCAAAAAATTCTCATTTACACAACTTGTCCTCATCCTTGACAAATTTCCCCAAGTAAAAAACTTCCACAGAGGAAGTCTTTAAAAGCACTCTGGCAAGTTTACGGAATTCTCAACTCCAATCATATCATGCATTTTATACACTTCTTCAGCAAATTGCTGTGAATCACGCAAGATCCCACACTGGTGATCGCGCGAGAGACTCCAAATGACCTGACATTGTGAACTCTGAGAGCCATATAAATTTCTCCACAAGAATTTTCTTGACCGTCTCTATTGAGATGATTTCCAAGATGACACCATCATAGGCTCCATAATCCATTATCTTGTACAGCAAGATGAAGTGATGGAATGACAGAACATTTAATTAACAATTTCCTCCCACAATTCCATACAACATCCCATCAATTTTGTCTCTCTCCGGCTGTCTTCAGTCCCACCAAGTTCCCTCTAAGGAGCCCCAAAAATATGCCCTCCACCCATATATTATTGTAACAAAAACTCCACCCATGGCAGCAAATCACGCTTCACGTGAGCAAAATTATGTACATACAATGGGTAATTTAGTCGGTAGTTTTCTTTCTTTTCTCCACCTCTTTGTGCCGTGTGCGTTTGTAGTTTCCCCCCTCGTTCAAAGCGAAAAAACACCGAGGCATTGCCTGCAAAACCAAAACAAAATTGACCCATATTTTGGGGAGCTCAGCGCAGAATTGTCATCCACCAAATAGATTATAATTTTCTAGCCTCCATAGCACACACACACACTGCAGAGAAACAAACTTTTTCGGTTCTCACAAGAGCGTGACAAGAGAAAAAAAAACACACCCTAGAAAAGACTAAAAATTTCCCATCCAACCGTGAAGCGCTTGAATTCTTATCTTTACACTACACATCAACGCACTACATTTCCCAGCGCGCAAAAAGGAAAATAAACACATGCTCATTGATGACGTTAGGACAATTTCATGATTACCACGCTCTGAGTGCCTTTCATTGTGAATTTATAATATTTCTCCCCCTAATTCTGTAACTTCAGTTGTTTCTTGTGTGTAAATAAAAACCATTTTATAGCGCGACACCAACTCAAATCAATCCAAGTCTTGTTGTGTTTTTTTTTCTTCTTCTTCATGTCATATTCAAGACTGTTTATAAATTCTTTAGAGGATTTTTTCGCTCAAAAAGTGTGAAATCATAAAATATTGAATACAATAATCATTTATATATTTCACAGTTTAATGTGTATTCTGTTGTTCAATGTTGACGAATTCATTCATTCAAAACGACCATTGCCAGAGTTGATATCCAATTAGTTGGAAGATTTAATTCGTCATCGAACAGATCTTCCAAGAATTTGTTTCTAAAACACCTTCTTATGATGACCAAAAAGATTTTAAATACATTTCAGCTAAAGAATATCTAGAAAATTGACCGTGCAACATAACATTCAGCTCTGATGCTTTTTAATACTTCCACTAACTCCACCCTCACGTTTCTGTCCAAATGCTTTTCTCACCAATTGGACATAGTGTAACACGTCCACATAAAAGTCACTGTAAACGGTAAATTTATCTACATAGAACTTCCTTTCTATAAATCACCCACGTGAGACAATCCTCCTCAATGGCTATTCTCTGTCACCATAATTCTACGATTGCGACAAATAATTACACGCCTAAAAAAACGATAGTAAAAAGATGATTAAAAGTGCAGTTGCAGCAAACGGTTTCCCGCGCAATTTCTCCTCTTCTCTCTCTCTGTGACCACATGGAATTCTGCGCGCACCACGCATTGCATGTCACTTGAAGAGGTCAACCAGAAGAAAGTCCAAGTCGCCAAGCAACTAAAGCTAAACAACTACGTCACGATTTATACGATGGCATCTCCCGTTGCAGTAGATGGCCAACTACAGTGAGACACGCCAAAATCAACCACACATTCACATTGGATTCTCGTGGGCTCGGTTGACTCTCTGGTATAAAAAAGAGGAATAATAATAATCTCCGAGGAAAGTTTCTTATATATAGTGAGAAAGAGATGTGTGACTTGATAGAGGTGAAATTGCCAAGACCAACGAACGAAGCCAAAGCCCAACTTGGGATCACAAGCAGAATTGTGAAAAACCTGTCTTTTCGATGCAGCATAAGTTTGCCACATGAAATCATACCCATTTAAAACACCAGCAAAACAAACTCACTCACACACACAAACACGCCCGGTTGCGGAGCATAAAACACCCAAAACCTCTTGCATGTTGGACTCTGGTTGGGCATTTTCTCACTCATTCCCTCTCACCTTCTTGTCCACACTCTCTTCCGATCATATTCTCTACACTACGTGTAAAGTGAAGCACTCTTTTTTCCTACACCTCAATTCTACACATATTTTATGTTGAGCGCCAACCCATCTCCCTCGCACTCACGCTCAACGCGAACACCGCGCTCAACACACAGCATAGCGATTACCTCTCTCAGTGTGTTCATTCTCACAAACTACAAGCCCAACAAACACATAAAGCCATATACGAGAAGTTGAGCCATCGAAACATTAAATAGCGCCAAACAGCGAAACCCGCCAGTTCCCTCTTGGATACCGTGTCCAACAGTTGCCACACAGTTGTTTGTCTCTTTAACACGAGGAGGAGTCGCCCAAGCTCTCTTTTGTGACTTTTCGGTGTGTTTCCATCAGTGAATATTCTATGCAAAACCCTTTCCCGCCCTAATATCAAACATTCACCACACATTTTTCACCACCCATTCGTCACTATTTCATGCAAAACACCGCGCAAAAGGCAGGGACAAAGACGAAGAGTGCGCCTTGTTGTCCAGTGAGGGTGGACAAAAGTCCAAAACTTTCCACTTGGGTTGCGAACCTATAAGAAGAAAAACCAAAACAACGCATCACATTTGAGAACATTTAAAAAAAGCATTGGAACGCCAAAAATCATTAAGTGGAATACACAAGAGAGTTAGCAAGTCAGGTCCAAAGCAGGTAGTTTTATTGTGAAGTCCGTGATAATCTCAGTCCCAAAAAATCTCAGGCGTGTTTCAACTTCTCTTTTCCCGCCACGTTCTCCTCTTCTCCATCCATTCTCACATTGGATTCTTCGCTCTTTCGCACTGTTCGGTTCATTCTCAAAAGACTCCAAAGATTCTTCGCCACATCGTGAACTTTCTCAGCGACAGAAAGCAAGTTTTTTATATATTGATAAGTGTGTGCGCGCGCCTCTTTTCTGCCACGAAAGAAGCGAATATTATGTTTTTGTGTGTCGAAACCCTAAATGGATTCTCATCTCTTGCAAAATGCATTATAATCCCCATTGATTCCCAATCTCTCAGTCTCTGAGGGTCTCCCATTCAATCCATCCCACCAGAATTCCAACAGTCGATGACTTCGTGAGCGCACACACTTTTGCCTCTCCTCTGTGACACATTGGATGGGCGTTGCTTGGGTAAACGGGTGTGATTCTCTCTTCAATTGTCATTTTCTCCTTCACGGCCTCACAAAACATGCACAAACGTTATGTATTCAGATGAGACCACGCGAGAGCAAAACAAAGTGTTAAGCATTTTGTACACTAAAAACTCTTTAAACAGCCCATCTTACTAAACAATAAACAAGCCATTTTTACACCACCTTCTCCACCCAATTCGCCACTTGTTACATTCATGCGTTCACCAGTGGACTTGCAGTAAACAGAAGTGAGAGAGATTGAGTGAATAAAAATCGTCTTCTTCTTCTTCGTCTCTCCCTTTTGCAATATCATTCGTACTTGCGGTTATTTAAAACACTCTCAGCTCGTGATGTGACCAATATATATATATCGAAGCAAACGAGCACAAACACATGAAATTATGCTGGCATATTTTCAAGTGAATCAACAGTGGCAAAACTACACATAAGAAAATATGCAGCTCTAACATAAAGTGCAGAGAAACTCGTTACAGTGAGAAGCTAAAGTGTGTTGCAATCTGAATGCTGCACATTCAATTCTTTGATTGCTAAGGAAACATATTTCATCAATTGATCAGAAACTTTGAAAACACTTTTCCCACAAAAACCACACAAGTTTTGTAAACTGAAATTTGCTCACAATACTTTAGGTTATTCAAGTAACTAAAATAACTTTAAAGCTGTCAAAAGAAGCTCCAGATTAAAAGTGACCTACGCTTTTTCTTACAATAACCTTCAAAGTACAATTGAATTCTCTAATTTTGACTCAGTTCACGGCCAATCTTATGTAGCCACATAAATTACGCTCCTCACTGTAATTGCAGAAATAAACATAAGATAGAGACATATTCGGTAAAATACACGTCATGTATCTGGATGAAATAGAGAATTGTTTGTGCATATTTTTAGCTTTGAGACACAATATTTCTCGAAAAAAAAATAAAACATCACCACATTTGCACATATTCCAATACTCCCATGACAAGACGATACTACAATTCTTTCTGATGATTTTTTTTTCTTATTTTTCCATGTTTTTTTTTCTTCCCTCTCTCCGCCCAGTGAGAAAATCAGTCGCACAAGCACTGAAGAAAATCTTCTAGCGTAGCGAAAAACGCAAATTCAAATCAAACACTTGCCCTCCACCAAGGCATATAATAGTTGAGAACACTCTGAATCTCTTGCAAAACAATAATTTCTCAAGTCCAACAATGAATATAGGTATATAACCAAATTTCAAAGTCAATTTAAATTGAGTGTGCTTCAATTGATTAATCAAATTGGCATGATGGTCTTATTCTTCTCCTCCTCCTCCGACTAACCACATCGAATGGCAAAAAGAGAATGAAAGGACAGCATTTAGTAGTGCTTGAAAAATCCTCTCTCAATAGGATTAAATGACGATTGAAATTTGCCACACAGAAGCACAGAAGAAAAACATTCATCCTACTTCTTCACGTGTCTAACATAAGACTTTTATCTCATTCTTCACGTAATTTTTTCCCATTTTTCGTATAATATACCAAACAAAATAACTAATGAATGGTGTTGTTTGAAATATTGGTGAAGAAAAAGATAACAAGATTCCTCACACACTTGAAAAAATTGATGGAAAAAATAGAAACTCTATTTGTAACATTCCCATGACAATGATTTTCTGCTCTCTCATGAGACTCTCTCAATAACTCAATAATTCCTTATATTTGCATTTTATTTTATTATACAATTAAAACCACTATGTTTGTATCTGTTTCTCTATATACTAATTGACGTGTGTTTTTCTCTTCCCCATTTTTTTTACCTATTCTGCACTTATTCTACATGAAAATCTCTTTGTCCCGCCCGAAAAATACAGAAATTTCACATCTGAAAATGGCAAATTCCGGCGAAACAGGAACAGGAGTTGATTCAGCCTACAAGAATAATTACGTGAGCGGTGCCAACAAATACTGGCCGACACTCTTCAAGCTCGTCGAATTGGTAAGTCATACTCTGTCCATGTAAAATTGTAACAAATTGCTCTCAATACATCTTATCATGTGAATCATTCATAAACAATTGCGAAAACTTCCACTCATTCGAATATGAGAATACATTAACTACTGTTTAATGCTAATTTATGCAATAAAAATGTGCATCTTCCCTATTGACTGTACTGACTTGGCGGTGTTTTCATTTAAGGCTCTTTAAACACTCCATCGCCACACACACTTTTCAGCGCTACAAATAATATATTATGGTGTGAAGCATCAATTCTCTTAACTCACAATTTCCCAAAGAATTCACGATAGCTTTATTCACTCTTCGCAATGACCGAAAACAATGGGTGAGGAAAAAAGAAATTCCCTACAAATCTCTTTCCTAAAAACTCTTTCATATCAAGATGAAAGACAAGAAAAACTAATGCACTTCTTGCATCAACAAATTGCAGATAAATGAGTCACGTTTGTCTTTTATGCTGTGCAAAGGAAAAAAAGCAGAGCAAAAAAGCTACAATGAGTGTAAAACTTTCACTGACATTCTAAATATCACCCACCTCTTTATCATTTCTGCATTGTGTGAATTGCACATTATAAAGTGCATTTGATTGCACACTTCTAGCATTGAATGAAAACATAAACAGAGACGGAAAGTTCACGGATGAAAAGGGGAGGGAATTTTATAGCATTTAACCCACTTTTCCCGCCCATAACCATCGAACCCAGGTGAAAAAATCAATTTTCATCGATTTTCCTTGTGTCCATACTCTTCACAAGTCGCAACATGGGAGGCATTTTCTCATACAAAGACCTCCTTCTCCCTCAAGGGATTAATCACAACTCCATTGTCGTTGGCACGCCACGCCACCATAACTTGCACTCTCAACCACCGTCCGCGCGAGTGACCCAAACACAAACACACGAATTGGGCCACAAGTGAAGTGGAACAGAGCAAGCAGATCGACTGGAATTAACCGACTGGGTGTGTCGCGAACCAATCAATTAGCCATTTAGCACAAAATGCCTGCCGAATTTTCTCACCACCCCATCAGAACAAATAAAAATTCATTCCCAAAAACGATGGTCTGTCTTCGCTCACCCTCAGTGTCAATGCTCATTAGGGAATACAATATGGAATTGCGTGCCACCATTTACATTCATTCCACCCCCTCACTCATCGCCAACCCGCCAATTTTCACTTGAAACAAAGACTAATGGTCAGCATGAGATACATAAACTGTGGGAAGCCTTCAATCAATTTCCCGTCTATCGTTGGAGAGAGGAAGAAGCGAAGGATATGAAGAAAGCCATAATGAATCAATCAAGAGTTCAATAAATAATCAAGTGTGTCTCGAACTCACACAGCGAAGAAAATTCACGGGAAAAATTATGAAATATTAGTTACGGACACACCTTTCTTCTCTCAGCAAACACAACAGTTCCCAACATTTAGCCTGGATGTGTTCCACAATAAGGATTGTTCACGGAAAAAACTGAACAATCACGAGGATTTTTGATATCAAGAAAGAGAGCAAAATAACCTCCCGAAAAAAACCTTCACTCTGCGTAATTCTAAGTGTATACAATCCATTAACAAGATGCAAGATAAATACTCCAAAATAGGCAATAAAAATGGCAAAACAACTTCTGAGAAATTCACCTTAATTTCCACTTAAATTCACATGGAACCACCCAAAAAACATTTAGCAACAATTTGAATAAGCACTTTAGCTGTTATGACTCAATTGAAGAATTTTTGGCTAAAGACAAACGATCTCTCCGTGACATGAGTTGATAACAACACTTATTCTTCACCTACAAGATATAAAACTATCCCGCGATGCATTTAATTGCGCAAATAGCAATAATAAAAAATCACGATAGAGGGAAAAAAATGTTAAACATTTTATGTAATTCTATAAGATTCACAACCGTCAATGTTTCATCACAATGGAAGAGAGAAAAAAAAACATAGATAAAATAAGCAGCATTTTTGGCCTTGAATTGAGAAAATTGTTTGGCTGAGACGAGATGAAAAATTACCTCAGCTCAAGTGACTTATTTTCTTCAATGGAGTTATACACGGAGAGTGCTAAAATATCCGCACAAAAAGACTACGAAAGCTTGTGGTTTTCGAAGAGGTAATAACACTTATACAGTGGGGTGGAAATTGCTGTTAATTCAATTAACACTGGTCAGAAGTTGAGTGAATGAGTGGGAAAACAAAGAATAAGTGTGGTTCAGATAAGAATGGAGACCTCTAGCGTTGTATCACAAGCACGAGGGACAAGTTCATGTTCTTTTGCAAGAGCACAAACAAGCAAGACAACACAACAATCATGCCATGTTACGCACGAAGGTCAATAGACGAAAATCCTCAAACTTACAAGAATTAAGAGTGGAAAAAGAAAAACACATTCCAAGTCATTTTCTCAGGCACTTTATGGGCTTCCACCCAGTTTATAATCACTCAGTTTCAACCACATCATGTCTGACTAATTGACGGGGTCGCGCAATTGAGCCTTGTCTCTCCATCTCAGGCACTTGCAATCGTCTGCATCGGATTGCTCGATGATCCCGCCAACAACACCCACTACCGGACATTCGTCACCCAGCGCACCATCGCCCTCTGCTATGCCACCTTCGGGGCGTACATCATCATCAGCGGAGCTTATCTGCTTGGGAAGGTCTTCCAGGACACGTAAGTTGTCTATTTCCATCTCCAACTTAATTACAATCGTCTCATGTGGTTTTCCAACTCAATTTTCTCACGATACAAATTCCACTATTTATCCGCTCTGACGTGAAAATGATAGTTTTCAATATAGTTGCTTATCTCTCAACAAAGTATGGGATTATAGTTTCTGTTTAGAGTATACTCTGTACTGCGCAGAACATTGAAATGAAATCCAAAGACTACAATTCAACAGAAGTCCAATTCATAAGACATCATCTGCATTACTTGGAATTTTCCGCGAAATACTGTGTCTTGTGAATTCGCGGAAACACCTTCAAAATATCACTATAGCATGAATAATAATTTGATGGTGAAAAAAAATTGCGGTAATAAGAGGAAATGAGAATAATTTTCAACTTATCGCCGCCGTGGTGAAGGAAACCCCACAATTTTGGCTACAATTTGCAAATTTGCATGAATTCATGTGTCTTTTTCCGCTGTCCCCCGCTCAGGATGACCTGGAAGACAGCGGCTCTCCTGAACTTCATCGGAGCCATCCTCTTCGTGGCCTGCGGCGCTGCCCTCCTGCGCGACTGGTCAGAGACGAAGAATCGCAACTATTGGCACCCCAACACCCAGCGAATGGATCTACTCTGCGCCGCTGGATCAGTCGCCGTGGTTGCAGCAGTGGTCTTCCTCGTGGACCTCCTGGCAACGATGCGACAAGGCGTTCGCGGGTATTTGGAGTAGAAATCCACCCGATAATCACCGCCCATCCTCGAATCTTCCCCGTAGAAGCATTCCTGAGAATATTTCTTGCGGAATCTTGACAAAATATGCGAATATCATTCCCTTTTATCTTCTATCACAGACATTCTTTTGACGATTTTAAAGCATTTTATCTTATATAGATGAGCAATATAAGTAGAGAGCACAAGTTAAATTGTAAGGCAAAATTGTTATATCGAATTAACAAAGATAAAAACGTCCAGGAATTCCGTCCATTTATCACACAAATTTCCCTTGATTCCGCGATAGGAGGCAATTTTTTTTTCTTAATGAAGGTGTGAATAAAAATGTGTTCCAAAAGTTGAATTTAATGAAGAGTTATTTCTGGAATTTGCCCAAATAAAGACACCTTCAATTTTGGCTCCTGTTGTGAAAATAAATCAAGGATTATTTCATAAATAAGACACTTTTTTCGCAAGAAAAAATACCAAATAGTAGATTGTAAGTTGAATATTTTGCATTCTTTCGAGACGATTAAATGTACAAATCAATCAATTTTGATCAGAAGAATACGAAAAGGTGAAAGAATTTAATCTTTCAAGGTGGAGAAGAAGAAATCTCAATTATATCATTATTTTATAAACTCTTTTTTTTGTTCTATCCATCGAATCGACCCCATTTTAATTATTATTATGTATTTTTTACTCTGCAGAGAAGAATCAATCGTAGATTGTAATGAAGAATTTACTACTTATCAAATTACCATGTTAGCAGCTTAAGTGATGAAGATGAAAATCTAACGAAATAACTACGTGTCCGACCAGAGTAAATGTAATTTTCATGTTAGAACTCTTTAAAGTAATTATTTTGTAGTATGAATCCCGTGTAATAAATGAGAATTGAATAAAATGAAAGCACACAAACGTGTTACAACATTAATTATATGGTCTCTCGTGGAAGGTTCGTGAAAAACCGCCTTATCAACCTGATGGCAATCTCAGGCTTATTGTAATTGGGATTTTCTACTGCTAAAACCCCAAGGTAAACTCTGGAATGGCCAGAAATTCAGCAGAAAAGCAGCGAAAGCAAAACTGTGTAAATGTATTCTAAAGATTGAGGCTTCTTGTGGAGAAAATTCACGCGATAATTTAATGCTTTAATAGGTGATTTAAACGCCTAGAATTTACCATCTAAATTATCCCGAGAATATCCAATTTAAAAAAAAGAGTTATTCCAATTCTGTAATGAATACGAAAGCTGTGATTTCTAGGAAAACAGCAGCTCAAATGGGCTTTGCAGCTGTAATTAAATTGGCGAGATCGTGTCCTACAAACGCATACTTGGTCACAATTCAGCCCCTCTCCTCCGGACTCCCGGTAAATACGCTAAATTGTGAGTCTACATGGCAAAGCATAATTAGCGTAATGTGACCAGCAATCTCGGCATTGCGATTCCCAGTGAAATCATCCCAGAAAGTGCGTGTCAGCGACAGATTCATTTGCCTAATGCCGCGACTATTAGCGGAGGATGTAATTGGATTACTGTGGAGTCTCTGGGACAGGCACAGGAGGGAAAAAAGTGAGTAATGCGGAAGTCGTTCCAGATTGCCATCAGAGGGTGTAATTGATGAAAACTCACCTGTGTTGACTCTTCTCCGTAGACATTGTCGAAGTAGTAAACCTTCGGAGGCTCCCCGGAATTGCTGCTGGGCTTCGTCACCGTGATGGATCGATTGAGTTTGTCCACCTTCACAATATTGTTGGCCCCCGCGTCCATTTCCAGCTTGTCCATGGGGCGCACTCGGATCACCACCCTCACATTCTCAATCTCACCCGGCTGCTGCTCCTCCTGCAACATTTCAACCAGACGTGTCAGAAAAGCCTCTGTGGCACTTTCTTCACCTGTTTTACTGATCAATTTCCATGAAAAGGTGAAATTTCATGAATTATTCATGCTTTTCGGGGAAGCTTGACGTTCCACCTACACCTTCGGTGAAAACATCTCGCATATCCCAAAATACTCATCAAACATCGCCGTTTTGCACTGAATCTCAAGGCGGAGATGTCAGAGATCTTATCTAGTCACACTTACCGGCATTTTAGGGCTTGTTCTGGGCAAATTTCCTGATTTTCCAAATCACCCCCGTTTTACAGAAAAATATTGACAATCCCAGCCATTTTTTGTGGTACCAGAATGGGGTTGCCATGCGCAAGTTCTTTCCCTGCGGAAGTTTCCTCGGACGTGTCTGGCGTGTGGCGGAAAAATGACGCTGTCAATGGTGGAAAGCGGCTCAACGTCTGCGGAAAGCTTCAGAAAATTCATCTTTGGCCAGGATCCAGACGACAGTGACACCGACGAAGTCTGCGACAGCGTTGAAATCCTCATTCCAGAGGTGAGTTTTCCCGGCATTTCGTCACACTTTCTCCGCTAATTTTCCCCCCTTTTCAGCTCCTTCAGGCCTCGTACTCTTCATACACCTGGCCTTCCGCTCCCATTCTGAGTCTGTTCCTGTGGAAACGAAGGGCATCTCTGACCAAGAAGAGGATCCTCGAGTTGGGATCAGGCACCTCGCTTCCGGGCATCTTGGCGGCCAAGTGTGGGGCTCAAGTCACGCTGTCCGATCGCACAACACTGCCCAAGACTCTGGCTCACATACAGCGTTGCTGCCAGCTGAACAATCTCACTCCGGGAAAGGATATCGCGGTGAAGGGACTCTCGTGGGGGCTGCTGCTGAATAGCATCTTCGATTTGGGGCCCATCGATTTGATCATCGGCTCGGATATCTTCTACGATCCGTCTGTGTTCGAGGACATCCTCGTGACCGTTGCTTTCTTGCTGGAGCAGAATCCAGGTGCCAAATTCCTCTTCACATACCAGGAGAGAAGCGCAGATTGGAGCATCGAGGCGACGCTCAAGAAGTGGAAGCTCAAGTGCGCCAACGTGAGCTTGAGCGGAATCACGGCGGGATTCGACAAGAATCTGAAGAAGTTCATGGGCGGTCACAGTGTTCATCTGCTAGAGATCACGCTCGCCTGAGACATGTCGAACATCTCGCTGATCCGGAGCCTGTACAGGGTGTTCGTGGGGAATCTCTCGTGGACGGCGTCCGGGAGGGACGTGAAGATGTACTTCTCCAAGTTCGGACACGTGGCCTCGGCCTCTGTGGTGTTCGACAAGAACACCGGCCTGTCCAAGGGCTACGGCTTCGTGGACTTCAGCACGCAGGACGGCCTGATCGCGGCCACAAACAACCAAGTGCACTTCCTCGAGGGCAGAGTCCTGACTGTGCAGAAGGCCAGGAGCGTGGAGTGATTACGCAACAGTGCCAACGCAGAAGCAATCGACAGAGAAAAGCAGCCACACTCATGTTTTTTTCTGTGAATAATGTTAAATTTATGCCTCTACAAATTACACAAATAGTAAAAATAATTATCAATTAGAAATATACAAATAAAAAATTATCGTAGTTTCAATCTTTGTGTATGTTTTCCGGGTAAAACTCGCGCTGTGGAGCGTCGCTCCGCGCGAGAGTTCAAGATTCGCTTTATCTGCTGATGTTGGTTTTTTTTTGTTTCTTGTGAGTCCCTCAAAAGAGTCCGGCAAAAGCCCATTGTTTGGATGGGTGGAGGGGAATAACAAAATATAGTGGCAAAGAAGCTGAGTCCAGGAAAAAGATTCGATAAGTAGCTATTTCTCATGTTTCTCTTCTCTAAAAATAAATTATAAATGTGATCGTCTTTTATCATTTCTCTCGCTATTCCCTTGTAAATTCATGGTATATCAACTTAATCTCCCTCTCCCGAGCGCTCTCTCTCCCTCTCTCGCATGGGACTAAGATGCTCGGCGCGGAGCCGAAGTCGGAGTGGCCATCAAGGCGGATGCCTGACCGCCGCGCTCCAGTCACTTCCGCGCGGATTCCGCCCGCCTTTGGCCACTGAGGTCTGCCTGTGTGCGTGATCTTGCAATTTAGAAACTGAGAACTTGTGAAAGAGAGGCATCACTGGACGCACCGGGTGAGGAGGAGAGAGCAGGGAGTCGGAGAGAGAGATGAGGACTGCGGGGGAGTGTATCCAGGTCAGAGGAGACTACATCTCGAGAGCCAGTTGTGGGGTTTTCTCACAGTTTCCGCCTCCTTGAGTTTATGGCCCCCCTTGACGGGATTGTTCGCCTCCTGAAAGCCCCCCAGGAAAAAAAAACACACGCGCGCGTGATTAGAAGCCATCCAAAATCATATCTGTGAATCTTCGCTCACCAGTCGCTTCTCCGTCTTTGCCTTAATGTCCCTGGCAAGTGTGAAAAACGCCTCCTCCACGTTGATCTTCGCCTTCGCCGACGTCTCCATGAACTTAATCCCGTACTCAACAGCCAATTGCTCCCCTCGATCCTTCGTCACCTGGCGCTTCTCGTTCAGTTCGCACTTGTTGCCCAGGAGCATCTTCTCCACGTCCGCCGAGGCGTTCTCCTCGATGTTTCTGATCCAGTTCTTGATGTTCTCGAACGACTTCTCCTGTGTGATGTCGTACACCAGCATTATGCCCATAGCGCCGCGATAGTAGGCGGTTGTTATCGTCCGGAAGCGCTCCTGGCCGGCCGTGTCCCTGCAAGGCGATGATGATATGATGACTCATTAGAGACCCGCCACTCTGCGTCACCCGGAATTCGCCCACGGACTCCCCACCCCACTCACCATATCTGTAGTTTTATCTTCTTGCCATCGAGCTCAATGGTGCGGATCTTGAAGTCGATTCCTGCAAGAGAAACAGCCCAAATTGCCGTGTGTGCTCCAGAGTATGTCTCCGTCTCGCCATTGCGGCCATTCAAGCGATTTACAGCCCGACTTTTTCCACCCTCCGTCCACCCGTGGTGCTCCCAACCGCAGCCAATCGCCAGACTGACACCCCCCGAGGGCGCCAGCCCCACTCACAGTCCACACGAGAGGCCCCAAACGCGGAAATTGACCCGAGAAAAAAGTGGGCAATGGCGAGGCGATGACGACTCACCAATTGTCGATATAAACGTTGTATTGAAGGCATCCTCTGAGAAACGGAACAGGATGCACGTTTTGCCAACACCTGAGTCACCGATTAACAATAATTTAAATAAATAGTCGTAAGTTTTAGCCATTTTATTGCTAACACTAAGGAATTATAAAATTAAAGAGCTATGGAGAACCCTATGAACAACTCGTCGTGGAAATTCGCCAGAATGTTCCGATTGAACAACCGACTTCGGAATATTACACAAAATTTTCTTTGTGTCGGTCACAAATTCTTATTCATTAAATCTTCTCAAAATCACTCAAAAACATTACATTTCGTTCCTAGAATATTATTCCTGCACTTGGAAGCATAAATATGAGGAATGATTGTGAAGAATTTCTCAAATTCTGCGGATTTGTCGTACGCTTTTCAGGAGACCGACAAAATTTTACGAGGCATTGAATTATCTGTTTTGCAAAGTATCGCCACTGGCGCTAGTGTCGACCCTTTCCAATCGTGTTAACTTTCGGTATGTTTTGCTTCCGTGGTTTCTCACAAAAATATTTAATAATCTCCCAATCTGGGCGTCTTCTGGTGAAAATATGTCGTCTATCAGAAAGTGTAATTAACGATGCGTCGATGGATGATTGAGGATAGTGAGAATATGTATGGAAATAGCGGATGAATGGGGATTGATGTGGAGTCGGAGTTTCCTTGGTGGTCAAACAAACCTCCACGGATTGTTGAATATTTACAATTCCCGGCCAATGTGCGCTAAGGATTATCCGCGATAAAGCTCAGAATGATTCTAAGAGAGTGATTTCATTGAGTTATGAGGATTATTGGCCAGAAAGTGCCTGTGAATTCGGGTTGTTTCTCCATAACCTCCAAAATAGTTTCTGACAGATGACTTGAATCGCCAGAAGACGCCCGGAAAGCGTGTTTATTGTATGAATAACTGATTAACCGTGTCTCTTGCCTGTGTAGATTGTGAGTGACTATGGCAGACGTTGAGAAGACAGCGAAGCCCAAAGCCGCCAAGGCTCCGGCCGCCGCGAAGCCTGAGAAGAAGGAGAAGGCACACACTGCCCGGCCTCGTCGCCCGGCTCGCCTCTACGCCAAGGCTGTCTTCACCGGCTACAAGCGTGGTCTCAGGAATCAGCACGAGAATCAGGTCATCCTGAAGGTGAGAATCCTCATTTGACTTCCACTTGACTCCAGATTGAGTGCAAATTTCGCTTCTTTGCAGATTGAAGGCTGCCGGCGGAAGGAGGACGGTCGCTTCTACATCGGGAAGCGCTGCGTGTATGTGTACAAGGCCAAGACGCGCAAGAGTCTGCCGCAAAGGCCCAAGGAGAAGACCAAGATGCGCGCCGTTTGGGGCAAAGTGACACGATTGCACGGCAACACGGGATGCGTGCGTGCCAAGTTCCGCCGAAACCTTCCCGGACACGCGATGGGACACCGCATCCGCATTGTAAGTCCTGCTGAATGCTTAGCAGCGCAAGATCCTTTACTCACTGCAATCTCTTTGTCTTCCAGATGCTGTACCCATCCACAATTTAAGTTGCTAAAACTTACAGAATAAATTTTCATGAATGAAACCTGGAAGAGTATTTCTTGGTAGTCTTATTTGGTGATATTGTAGTCGCTGAAGGGTTGCTAGGTGCATATTAAGGAGTATTTTCGGTATTTTCATTAAGCAAAATACGAGTTAAATTTCGAGCATTTGCAAAAGTCGCTGAGTTTTCTAGCGGAGGCGCAAACTGAGCGCAAAAGTGTCTCGGATGCATTGTCTGTTGAGGCAGTTGGAGAGGAGGCGAGCAGGTGAAACTGGAATCATCACACCTCGATCGAGGCATGGAGCTGAGAGGGCAAGCGGCCTGTGCGGTGGCGAGAGCGAGATGACGCGATGTGGCAGCAAAGGAATTTGTGTCGTCACTTGAATCACTGCATTTACCATCGCAGAGTGGCGCTGCTACGGTGTTTTTCGTTTGTTTCAAGAGTCCAGTTGTGCCCATTATCTGTTGTCTTAATTGCCAGGAAAACCCATGGAAATGTGTGGAAAATCGAGCAATTCCCGTGCACAGTGACTCCTTGTGTGACTGACCGTACTTTGACAGTGTCTCCTGTGCGATTGTGAGTGTTTCAGTGGCATTTCTTGGGGTCTTTTCATCTCACGCGATATGGCTTCGGCGGACCCAACCGAGCACGGTAAGAAAGAGAGTAGCAGCAGATTTGAAGGTGGCGCATTGCTCAATTTCTCTCTCAGGTGAAATTCCTCAGCGCGAAATTCCCCTCGCGATCACTTGGCGTCTGATAAAGGCGCTCCGGATTGGCCCCAAAAGCGCGTCACTGCGCGCGAGTGCAGAAAGGCGGCTGCAGAAGAGCATCACAAAGTCGAGACTCAAGATCAAACAGTTAATTGTACTTTTATCACTCAACTTTATTTGATCAATTGATCAAACAAGAATTTTTGAAGGAATTCTACTCTCACTCTATGGCTGAAATTAGCGCGTTATTCGCACACAAAAGTCGATCAAAGTCCACGCGAAGGCGCTTCAATGATTCCCCTTCATTGACATTTTGCAGGCGAAAAATCTCTCTGTGAGGCATTTCGCGAAGCCTCGAGCCCAAAAGAAGCGCCCCCATCTGCGAAAATGCCCATAAATATGCGCGCACACACACATTTCTCCGCATGAGATCACAAACCGTTCGCTGAAGACACGCGAAAGGTGAAATCTTGAGGACGCGATCGAAAACACTCAAGATAAGCGGTCAATTGATCCCCGATAGTAAATCACTTTAATTGCAAACGGTGAGCCAATAGAATGAGGTATATTAAAGTGCCACGGAGCACTTTCAGGTGATGAAACGCGTGATTTACGGGACATTTTCTGCATTCTTCCATCAGCACGAGGTGGATTTTTGCGTAATATAATCGAGTGCGGGACACTTTACGACTCTAGCGCGGAGATATCAATAAGTCTCGAAGACGCAAAGAGATATAAAAGAAAGAAATCAGAACCCGAAAAGTCCACATTCATCTGGTTGTAGCCAAATACTAATATTTTCGGCTTTAATAGTCTAATTTGGTTTATCTATATTTCCAGAGAAGAGATATAATGCAAAATAAACAACTTATAATTGCTCATAAGCTTCCTTACGCGCCAAAGAAAATAGTGACCATTAAAATGCGCAAATGAATACGTTTACCAGTATTATTTGTATCCAAAACGGCGCGTGGAACACTCAGAAAAATAGATTAGAATAAATTGAATGAAAAAGCTTTCGACTTATCAAAACTCCGTGCAAAATATGGAGATTAATTTTTTCTTCATTTTTCGTCTTTTAATTAGATAAACGTGCAGAAATTGTATGCAAAAATAGAAAGTTAAAATTTTATGTGTGTATTTCATTATTTCTAGCAATTCTAGGTTTTATAGATTAGAAAATCGTATTCATTTATTCAAATTATTCCACATTGATTTTGAATAATTTCAATATTATTCTCACGTATCATAAAATTGTTGATATTTTGAGAAATCCATTAAGAAATCATTCTCACTGTGATTTTTTTTACATGCCTATCAATTAGGTCGCTTGTAAGTCACCTTTAGCACTTGTTTTGTTAGAACATTCTGGTGAAGATCCATTGTTTCGAGACATATATAATTAAGGAAAACTTTCCACAGGGAATTTCTGTGAGATAAGACACTGCACTGCAGTCTTAAAGACTATACATAACGCTTTAATACGCAACTTAATTCATAGGTATGTTTTTTTCCTTAAATACACACCGAATAAGTGGGCAACGGCTGTGTTGCTGTGGCTTGTTATGGTGCATAAAAACAGCATTACGTGGAAGGTAAATTCACCAAAATCGCAGTAGAATTGTGCAACGGAGGAAAGAAAGACGGAGATTAGAGCAAATATGGACTTGTTGGTGCGAACTAAAAACATCAATAAGTTCATTAAATTATTACTTTAGCACGGAAGAAGAGTGTTCAACTGCAAATGCAAAGCGGAAGATTGCAGTCAAGGGAGGAAGACTTCACTGGAAAAGGCACAATGTTAGATAGAATATAAATTCTATTGATATGTGATAAAGATGTCAATCTTTCATATTGCATTGATGCAAATGCGAAGAGGGAAATTTGCGAAATTCACCTTCAATTTTCCCATGGAAAAGTATCAAACAATTGTGCTTTTTTCCCAAACTTGCACTTAATTATGCAAATAATCAAGATTATGCATTAGCAGAAGTGTGAATCTGATTTGCTACTCTCGTGGAATTTTCTCTGTATATCGGGAAAATATGACTTTCTTCTTCTTCACGATTTTGATTATTGATTCTCAGGGAAATGATGCAAATTACCCACAATTTGCGTTTGAATTTCTCAAATCAAATCACACCACGAGAGGATTATCTCAAGACCTTCACGTAAATTTATGGGACAAAGTGCAGAGGCGCAGAATGAGACAGGAAAGAGTTCGCTTAATGAGCTCAATGAGAGGTCAGAGAGTCACATGAAAATTTCAGCACTGAAGCTCAGTTTAATTGCAACAAAAATAAAGTACGGCGCGATTAATTGCTCAGAAGTTGTGTTGGTATTTGTGTGTATAGAAAAAAATGTTCCTCTAATGATTCAACTATTTTCCTTCTCCACATCAATTAGACTTTAATAAGTTGCTAAATTATTAGTGAAACCTGAAACACAGTGCGTCGCTGAAAGTTGAATTTGCCTTAAGGCAGGGTTTATCGCAAGTGAATCGTGCATATGGGAAAAAATAGTGAATTATTTGTTTTTGAGCAATAAATATAAATCCAGTAACTTGATCACAATGTTATGGAAATTTTTGGCAATTTCATTTTCTCTTGAATGGGGATTTTTTTTCCCTCAGCATGAACCGGTGAAATCTTTCCGTGTTTTGTTCGGAAGAAAACATCTGGAAATAGTTACTTATTTGTTTCTTTCTCAACATTATTTCTGGAAGTTGTATGGCAAGAATACGTTTACTCATTTTCCCTGCGGTATTGTTGAATGTTGTGTCGTAAAGTCAGGGCACGTGTGATAACGCAATTGATTGGAACTTTTTCACTGTTCCGGGAAATACTGAGTTTGGGGAAAATTTTTAATGGGAAGACACACAAGAGAGATCAATTTCTACGCACGCACTCTCCTGAGAATTGATATTGAAATATCAGTTTTTATGTGATTACTTCACCATTAAAATATTTACAGGAGACACAATGGGAAGAGAGCACCTGTAGCAAATAATGGGACAGAGATATTATCGCACGTTTTATTCTGAGAAATGAGGCAAAAATAGATTGAGCCATTCGTGTGACAAGGAGTTGTGATCACAACAAATAAACTCGATTGGGGCGCAGACACATCGCAACTGAGATAAATTGCCCCGAAGAAAGAGAGAGAGAGAGAAAGAGTGAATATTGAGAGGGAAAAAGGACGAAAAGTGCTAGGCAATTAATCTGCAGATTGAGCAATAAAATAGCCACCGTAGAGAGATTAGGAAATCGCAAGAATTCACCTTATTAAATGGGAAAAAGTCCCGCGAGATTAGATTTGACCATTTCATCGCGCTCAACACTGCAAGAACTGCACAATCGTACCACAAATCTGTGTAAATGACTGGGGTTTAGTTGCAGCAAAAAATCTCCTCTATCTCTCAATAATATTTCACATGCTTCATTGCACACTTCCACTTGACTCCATTTGAGATTGGGTGAATTTCGCTTCATATGAAATGGAATTGGAGGTTTTGCGGTGCACGTTCGCGCGAGTTGGGAAAATATTTCCTCAACTTGATCACTAATTAATCTTATCAAGGCAGTACTAATGGCCTAAACAAATCCATATGCAAATACAGTCACGGAGGAATTTAACCTCTTTGACATCAATGCAATAGAGTTGCTGCGCGGTGCATTGAAAACCCATTTTCAAATATCACACCATTCGATCAAATTGATCGAGAAAGCGAGTGCACAGAAATTCTTATGCGGCCTGCATTCGGTGAATTCTTGACCATTTTAGAGAGACATTTAAATTGTCTTTTGCCAGAGAATTAGTTAAAGCATTAGAAAAGACTCTATAAAATGAAGTCAAGATCTCTTGAGCACAAGAATTTCTACTCATTTATCTCCATCTTATGAAATCCATCGAAGAATAGCGAAGAGAGCTAAAAACAATTGAAACAATTCATATTAAATTTCACTTCCTGCCTCTCGTTTTACCAAGAAAAAGAACACCCTTGAAGGATTGTGTTAGAAAAGGATTTCACCTTCAAATAAATTGGAATTGTAGTTCAATATCGTCTTGCCATCAAATATTCAACGAGAGAGTCTCAAAATAAGTGCCCAGGAAATCGCAGGTGATGTTCTTCAACCCAATCAGAGATTGTTGGCCCCTATGAAATGGACAAGACCAATCTTCAGCTGTGTGTGTGAGAGTTCTTTGTCTCTGGATTTCAGGGAGTCTTGTAAACAAAGTGACGAAGAGACAGGAAGTTGATGTTTTTCGAGGGGGCGTCCGCGTCACATGGATGAGAGAGGAAGCAAAAAAGACCCTCTCGGCTCCGGAGGAATTTTGTTGAAGAAAGAAGTTCGTTGCGTAGGAATTTCACAGACACTTTTTGCCTCACTTTTCTACCAAGTCGAATACAACAAGACAGCGTGTAGGAAGCTCCTTCTGCCGACACTCCTTTCCCATGTCAAGTGGTTTATTTTCTGTAATTTGAACTGTCTATCATCGTGTGAAAATTAATATTTGTCCTTGTGCTAGAATCCCGCGAGAGTGAGAAGAAAATTGTGGGAGAAGAAAGGTTGATTGCATTCGCTATAGTTTGTTGTTCTTGTTGTTTCAGAATATAATTTTCTCGTAGCGACATTTTCTCTATCACAACACAACACGCTTAGCCTTCTCCACCTACAATGAAATACAGGTAAATTGGGTGGAGAGAAATCAATAGTAATTGGAATTTTATGGGTTATTTCTCCCCAGTTGGTTTTACGTCTATTGTGACTCTCTGGGAAATGTGTGGTATTATGTCTCTTCGCGAGAACTCGTCCTTCCTTCCACTCGCCATAGGTGACAAATAATTAATATTCATCTCCACCCAACGCATAGAGAGATTGAGCAGCAAAAAAAAACAGAGAGACAGAATTGTATAGGCAATTTATATGGTAAAAGTTTCCTCAGTATAATTGACCATGTGACTTTTCCTCATCTTCACTCTCTTTGGTGTGGCAATGCCTGAATTATGGCAGTAAAATTGCAGTCGCATGGAGATGATGAAGATACAATTAAGAGGAGGACGAAAAATTGTGTCTCTCTGCCGTTGCTCATTACTCAATTTATTTTAATTGCTTATTGAAATTTTTTTCCGCTACGGCCAATTTACGATCAGTGTGAAATTGCTCTCTGCGTCTCTGTTGGTTATGCCCAAGGATTCCAATGCATCTCTCGCCCCTCCCACATGCACTCGCGACAGGTGATGATAAATGGTCGCACCGAAGGCATAGGCGAAATGACTCTGGAGACACCTTTGGAGACAATTAATCAATTGCATGTGAGAGAGTGATTTCATGTTCTATCTGCCGATAGTAAATTAAGACATGCAGTCGCGCCCAGAGACATCCACGTGACTCTTATCCGACGACAGATATTCAATCAATTTCTCATCACTGCACAAATAGACTTAACGATTCTAATGGGAATTGTGTGTGTTGGGTCATTCGAATGGTGTGACCTTTCCTATCACCTCTCCTCTGTCATATGATTCGCGAGCGATGCTCTGTGTTGGTGTATCTCGTAATCAAATGATGTGATGCTGGAGATGAATAAAGAGATGAGTAATTCAATTTGACTCCCTCTAATTGTATACGAATGGTTATTTTTTATTACTCTCCACCTATCACGACTGGTAGAACCGGGCAGGAGTTGTGTAGCTAGAATTGTCTGGTTCTCGTAATATTGGCCCTAATATTCTAGGAAAAAGAAAAAAAAGCTATTGTTGTTTATTCTTCTGTTTCTGACTGGAAAGGTTATACAACATAGTTAGTTTACAATCCACGATATTTGGCCTTAATCAGTAAATTTGATAATTTCCAGCACAGTTGAAGTTAAACTTTATGTGTTCCTATATAGAGTTTAACGTAAATATTCGCTATATTTGTATCATCTGTATAGTATAAATAGACTTGTTCTTTGTCATGACAAAACTCCTTCACAGTTCTATTATTTTTTATCACCACCATAAGAGTTGTGTAATTTTTTTTAGTAGTTTTATAATGATATAATCTTTGAGCGTGAATCTATTTCATCGAATTGCTTGTATTTCCCACAAGGAATATCCCTGGGTTTTACAGAACCGCGCACTCGAGCATGTTTCAAAGAGATTTTCGTAGAGTCTCTGTTATGGAGGGCTTATAAATAGTATATATCTCCAAGCACGTCTAATGGAGTAGCAATTAACCGTGTGTCTTCTTGGAATTCCTCCAATTTCCGGATAAAAACCCCACTCAAGATGAAAACTCTTGCATTCGCCATGAGAGCCGAAAAAATCTCCGCTGGAGATCTCTTTTAGAAGAATGTGAATCAGAGCTTTTGAGTCACTTGTTAAATTCTCGGGAATATTGATCGATTGGCGCAGAGGTAGGGCGCGATTGTCAGTGAATGCATTTCTGAGATGATTTACTGGGCATAGAGAGTGTGTGAGAATGGATGAGGCGAGAGAACCACCCAAGAATTTGGACGTATCTTCCAGACGGATGTCGATGTGCACTGCTGCGTTCGTGCCGCGTCACAAGGCACAAACACTCACATATGGCGAGAATCGGTTCCAACCAGCTACCTTTCCAACCAGCGATACTTTTGCGGTGTGTAGAGCTCGGCCGCCACTCCAAGAGAGTCAGTCAAGTTGATTCAGTCGCGTTGAGCGGTTCGTTTCGCAGCTCGGAATTCGACTCGAATTTCCCTTGTTGAAATTATTGTGTGTTGTGCATACTCTTGGACAATATTTGAGTGTTCTGTCAGGTGTGCTGAAACATTTCTGGCTTTTCATGCTGGAAAATTACAGTGTTAATTAGACATTAGGAGGGAAGAAAAAGACTTACAGAAATCGAGGGGAGCAAGAAAATCAATTCCACTTGCTTGTGAAGCCACAAAATTTGAACTCTTTCCATAAGAAGTGAATGGGAATGAAGAATAAGGGATTACTACCATCGAGGAAAGTCTACAACAGTATTCTCCATTTTTATTGTGTGTAAGTATTTCAGAGAGAGAGAGAGAGAGAAGTGTTGGGAAGAAAGGATTCCATCGATTAAATAATTCTTTCTTACCTCTGTGACTTCTCAATGCACGAATGAGCGTCTGTTGAAGTGCATTTTTTTGTTGTCGGTCTGTTGCTATGATGAGGAATTCCTTGAGCTATGCACCAACACCTCTTTTTTCCCATTTTCAACCGCAATGGCATTCTCCAAAGCATCGCCCAGTGAAGAAGGTGCATTAGAATTTAATGATGATTTGAGCGATAGCGAGGAGACACTAATTCCTTCTTCATGGCCTAACGAAAATTGGTGGTAAAGTTGATGGTGGAGTAGAAGAAGAAGAAGAAACTATTGAAATAATGCTTCAGCGGTGAGAAAGTGTGACAAATTGTGGCGGTGGCTACGAAAGAAGGTGCATTGAAGACAATTTATTCACTTTTTGCGACTCTACCAGTTAATTCGGTGCCAAGGTTTACATTTGTCGACGACACACTTGACTCTCGCGAATATCTCTCAAAAGATACACACAAAAGTTGGGGATTATTATTATGCAAACATGACTGGTGGCTCGCGATGAAAGTTTCTTGTTCTCTTGATCTTCTCCTTTCGGCTCCCGCGGCGAGTTCGGCGGTGTGTCCCAGTTGAAGTGCACATTCTGAAGGGTATAACACAAGAGAGAGTTAATTAAAGGAAAATTCCCTGACAGTGAAACCCGCACTTGACTTCCTGTCTTGACTGTGACCGTGATAAGAGCTCTTGAGACACATTGTATCCGCATCATGTCTGGGGTGAATAATGCCTATGCAAATGTCCTCGTGATACGACAAGATCACCTGTGACGGTGCAGATAATTGCACAGTCATAGATAATACGCGAACACACCTCAAGTATGCGTGGGAAAAATTTCAATTTCATTCAATGTTTTCGCAGACTTTTCTATGCTGAATTTCTGCGAGTGCAGCGAGAGAGAAAAGGCAATTTGGAGCTCTTTCTCTCTCTCTCTCTTCTCAAAGTTCATCTCAACTTTGTATCTCTCGTGGTGACTTATTTTTTCACTCTCCGTCTTATACTTAAAGTCAATTCACTCATATGGTAATGATATCGTTTGCACAATAGAGGAAATCATACATCTCGCGAATTTATAACCGCTCACTCTAAATCATATTGCAAAAGAGGCTCTCCATTGTTGCGAATATTTATTCTAAATAATCTGATTGAAAATTTGAATTCTGGGAAAGAGATTTTCCCGCTGCGATAGCCAAATTTTTTGCACTATAAATTTGTTTTGTTGAAATATGCGAAAAATTTTCTGTCCACAAATTGTTTGCCTGAGAATTTATGAAAGTCTTGTGGCTAATGAAGAGATAATTTTCCTAAGATCAATGCTCGTTTTTCATACTCAAACAGTCACGATTCCTTTACAGACTTAAAGTCACCTTGTCGCGAGCGGGACCTCAATTTGGTTTTACACAGAATCTCACGAGAACTAGTCTATTGATGTAAAATATTTATTAATTTGCACAAAGATTATAAAGATTTTCACAATAGCAAGACTTTTTTGTGTATCTTCTCTTTATCTGGATAAAGTAAACTCACTGCAGAGTTCAAAAGAATGATATAAATGTATTCTACAGATTGTGTGTAATTAAAGAAAATCCAGAATATTGCATAAACAAACCATTTCTTAAGGTAACAGTTTAAGTTCTTTAAAATTTAATGAGCTTTCAACAATATACTAAAATCATCTGCATGAAATTTTATTCACATCCATCATTTTTCAGTATATGTGAAACTGTAAAGTAAAGCTTAAGATAAGCATCAAGTAAATAAAAATGATCTTTCCATGAATTTCTCAATTCCAGAAACTCTTCTATTGATATTGGCAATAAGATTTTCATAAATTTATTTGTAAACAGAACATCGTTTTAGATGTTCTATTGTATTTCTTGAGAAAACATGACGATGGTTGTGGTGAAAAATGCTGTGAAAGAAGCTGATAAATATGATAATTTCTTACTCAATGCATTTCACCCAGCGAGAATCTCTTCCTCATGACAAAATTAAGATTTTATCGTCAACTTTTTGAGCCATGTTCTCCCGGAAGTTTCAATTGAAATCTCTGTAAATTTTTTTTCCGAAATATTTTGCAAAAATTTGTTAGATAACAATCTCAAAGCAGCTGCAGAGAGAAGTACCAAACAAAAACTCCTATTCGAGACTTTTTGCTCTGAAGACATAAAAAAAATGCCGATTTTTCACACTTTTTCCCCATTCTTACATAAATCACAGTCTTTTTTAACAATATCCATGCGCTTTAAATACAATGTCAGATGTGTGATGGAAGAAAAAAGCTTCGCATGTTTTTCTCCCGCACTTTATCAGGTTTAATTAAATTTATAAAATACTGTGTGTGGCAGAAAGATATGAGCTATTGAATATTAATATAATATTTCGGTGGAAAATAAATTTTCAAGTCATCGCTAATTTATGCAGTATGTTTTCGGTATCTTCTCGTCATTTCTCAAATTTCTACTAATTGAATAGCCGGCAAATACCAAAAATGTTTAGTACGATCTCGAATTATTGGGCTTCTCTGACGCTGACGTGTTTTCCGACTCTCGCTCTGATATTTCATTTTATATGTATTCTTCCATCGGGCGTGCAGAGAAAATGGTATTTTAATAGTCTCTTTGCACAGAGATATTGTTAATTGGATCAGTGAAAAAGAAAAATACCATAGAAAGCGAATTTTAAAGTGCTCCACGGCAGGGTTTTAAAGGCTCTCTGGCAAAGAGTCATTTGGTGGGTATTTTCTCCATAATCAGTCTCACTCGAAAATATTCAAATACACACTCCAAAAATAGGTATCACGAACTTTCTTTTGATCTTCACGGGTGGAAGGCGACCGCAAAAAAATCAAAGGAAAACTAATGGGAGACAATTAAAATCTCCGTCTCTGTGCACAGCAACCATGAGGCACACAAAAGGCTTTATTAATTACATGTGATCAACATTAGTCAAATCGCGATCTGCTAATTATACCTGTACGGTGGGAAAGTAAATAAAAATATCCACCACGAGTGAACTTGAGGCATAGAAAAAAAATGAGCATTCATCAAATGTAATCAATAAATAGATAAATAATTGACTACTTTGGGGAAGTTACGGAATGTTTCTCATGTGCCTCACATGTCGACCGGCTAGTTTTCATTGTAATTGACGACTAATACTGATGTTTGATGTTTGATGAGCAGTTGGACAGTGGAAAAAAAAACATTTCTTATCATTTTGCGAATTTCCCTTGAGCGCATCTTCGTGCTTTTGCGCAATGTGTTGCGTAATTTGGCGATCAATTGTGGAAAATGATGCGCAAAAGGAAACTTTTCTTTCTATAAATAATCTCTAAAGATTGATTACTGCGACCGAGAGTGAAATGGACTTTTCCGTATGACCCCATGAGGCTAGCAAGTCACTACATCGCATTAAGTAGTAATTACTATAGGAAATTACACTGTTTAGCGCTATAGGGATTCAGTGTCAAATGCGATCGATAACGGTGAATGGGTTAGTTTGGAAAGATCACAATATAGAAAATGAGATTCTTGGGAATCTCATAACAGAAAATATTATCGAGAGTTAAAACGTGCCTCGCTATGTCTTCCTGTGTACGTTTTGCCTCCGTGAAGAAATTGTAGTACAAACTGGCCAATGTTGTGGCGATTGATCCATCTTTCTTGTCATGCTGCGAAAAAAATGTTGCTTATCGCGCGTGGAACTGGCGACATAGCGGATTTAGTGTTTTTCTTCTTTGTCCCCACTGGTTAGCATTTAAGATATCCACACCAGTGACGTAAAAACTCCAGTGAAGAGAGAAGGAATAGCGCAGTGCGTGGTGAATTTATCCCGTGAGCCATCATTCGCGTGTTTTTTATGGGCATTTTGTTGATTTGCCGCCTGCACAAGAAAAGAGATTGTGCAGAAATGCTGCAGCAAAATTTATGTCTCCACCACCCAAAGTGGAATCAATAGAGTTATAAAAGTTAATCACATACAAATAATCATTTTTCATTGACTCTCCGTCATCCCCAGAGTGTGCTTGGTGCATCAGGTGAAATTCAATTTCCCCCGCGAGGCCTCTTGGCGCACTGGGTGGTTCGCGATGTGATAAATTCTACACTCTGCGCCGAGTGGAAAGCCACCACTCTCGATTTATTCACACTTGAACTCACCGATGGCCATTGGAATAATTGTCTGTCTTGACTGTGAAGAATGATATTAGATTATAAGTGGGGAATTTTTCTCACTCCTGCCGCACGGCTCTCAAATGCATATGCATAGGCTCCTTAGGAGTACAACTCCACCTCACATCGCGGCCCGAGTACATGCTGAGATGGTTGGAAAATGAGTGCGAGAAGGCCACATGGAGAACACACAATTTTATTATTAGACACACCCTTGAAAATCATACTATGAATCTGTAAAGAGCGCGTAGGAGCGAGAAATGTGAAATTTTTCATGAAATTTGCATATTATCCTCATATATTCAATGCAAATTTGGCGCCAAATTTGCTTTTTTATGTCAAAATGCTGGTACAAATGTGGTGATTAGGCGAAAGACAGATGTTATCGAGACCTTTTCTGAGAAGTTTATCACTGAAAACACACATAAATTGACACTTCTTAATCCTTGAATAGATTTCAGACAGCCACTATTTGCTTCTAGCTTTCTTTTTGGGTTCTTTTGACGATAAGATTGTTGCAACTTCACTCTCTCTTCGATGCAATCGATCGGAGCGATGCTTTGATCACACTGACCGGGAAAATTTCATGCAAATTTGAATCCTCATGGAGCGAATCTTATGCGATGCAGTCGCTTCGCAGTGTCTTTGCCATGTGTCTTGATATTTATTTGAAGATTTTATTCCATGAAGTTGAAAATTTTATTAATTGAGCGCGTGTTCCTGCCGAGTGGCTTTCTGCACGACTTGATATTTACTGCAAATATTGGCGATGAAATGAGACTATGTGCGGGTGGAATGCGAGCTCACAATTGTGCGCAATTCAACGACAAACTCACAAGAAGATCTCAATATTCACGGGAGGATTTTTCTTGCTTGCGCATCTTCTGTCGAGAGGGAGAAAAATGTTTTTTTTTTGCACCATCTTTTATACTTTATTCAAAATTATACACTTTACTTTTTCTCATGTGACTTTTTTCCTCCAGCTGAAACGCGCAGAAAAAAGTGTACACGAGAATCCATAATGATTCGGCTGTGACCGGTCAGACTGGCTGTTTTAGAAGAAGTTTCTTTCCTTTGACATCATCTCAATTTCTGTTGGGTGTTTGTCTAATGAGTGAGAGGCAAAAGAATGCTTAATTCGCTGGCTGTCACATGACCACTGAATAACCATCATGTCTTGGCTTCTTTGCTCGATTGTGGCGAAATTGAGTGTTTTGCTGGGAGAAACGTAAAAGCGAGTCATCGATTTTTGCCAGTCTCGCGACGATGGGCTTTTTTTTCCTCCAGAGAGTCTTAAGAAGTTCTTGAGCGCAAAGAATATTGTAGTCAAACAATGGCTAGTGGGATGATGATTACAATAGAGAGTCCCGCACCTTCTTTCTACCCAGTCTATTTTCTGATTATTATTCCATAAGTCAATTGCACAAAAAGCAAATACAATTTCCCACCGCGAAAAACTTCCAAAGAGTCTGTCTTCAAGGATTTTTTTGTATACGCGCTCATCATATACATTATTTACCTCTTTTTACATGGCTTTTGCCGGCAGAAGAGCACAATTACTGGGTGAAAAACATAATATCCGAAATATGATGGTAAAATGAGATTCATACTGCCTCGATAGCGACACGAAATTAATTATATTGTGCAAAGGATGTGTGAATATGAGTGTAGTTCCGGTCAAAATTCACCGCGAAGTCGCGGGTGAATCAGCGATAGAGTGCTGTGTTAGCGCATTAAATATAGCGCAATCTTGGCTCTGTACATGATCCAATACCTGAAAACATGCACCCAAGGGAGATTTGTGTGAAAATTTGATCGATCTCGTGTGGAATTTGAGCACTCCTGCAGAAAATTCTCTCACACGATGGTTCATTCTTTGGCCATAAGTTTCAATATTCGCCGCGCGCGATACAATTTCTCACGATCGGTCTGACTATATGGTCTGGTCGCGGGGCCAGAGGCGGCAGAACCACCTCAAGAGGCAGCTGAATCGCATTCCATTTGCTTGAATTGCCAGAGCATTTATTTTATTGCAAAAATACACCGTCAAATGGTTGTTGGGTAGGAAAAACTGCAATTGAGATTGGCGTGTGTGTGCTTTGGAAAAAGGTCAAAGAGAAGCTTCTCGCGTGGTCTCTTGTTCTTGCGAGATCTTGCGCCCCAAACACAAAGTGTCTTGCAATTTCCATGCAATTGCATTCGGCATGAGGGAGACGATCTTTCGCAGGTGTGTTTGTGTACAATTTAATTGTGCAAATTTTAATCTGTCTGTCATAAAAATGTGCAAACAGCAATTTATCACTTCCACTGCTGTACACTAATGTCTCGAGAACTTCTGTGGCGATAAAAGTGTTTACGGCACCAAATGTCTACGTATAGCATCAGTAGAAATTATAGTCCAACATTGTGGTGTGAACAGTGTGAACATGATTCAATTATCATGGCGACAGGGGAGGAATGTGTAGCAAAAAAGGGTCCATTAACCACTCTGGTTGAATTGCTCACCAAGAAAATTTTCGCGGTGTTTTGAGTGCTAGTGAAGACGGGCGTGTGAGGCAAACAATTTCATGCCCAGATGAAGGCCATTCGCAAAATATTGACGGTTTTTCTGTTTTTTTTTGTCTTCGTTAAGATATTAGTTTCAATTTCACTTGATTTCCCAACCTTGAATATCTATTTATTACTCCAATTTGCTGACAAATTGCTATCCCATGGAGAATGGGCCTTTTAGCAGGTATGAAATGCTCATTCTCTTTAGCAAATGATCCTCAAAGTCAAATTAACATTCGCGGACACTGACTCAAAAGCCTCTTTTGTCCACTTTGGGCGTCTTCTTGTCCGGCACGTGAGAGAACATCTTCAGCAATGGCAGTTTGTTTTCTTTTGCGCAACAAATCACTGACATTTGGCAGAGACTCCGGGTTCAGTGCTACAACTATGGGGGGTCAACGCGGAGGGTTAAGCTAATTAGGAATGCAAACGAAGAGGAATGAAATAAAAAAAAATTAGAAAGAAAAATGATTCTGCAATTTTGAGTGTTGAAAGCCAGACTATTTTTTCCCTAAATTCAGTTTCAATCATTATACAGCATAATGATATCTGTAATTGGGCAATTTGCTGCAATTATAGGAAGAAAAGTGAGAAGAAGTATGAAAAGATTTTTGGATTTTTGCGTGGAAAAGAAGAGTTTGAAAAAATTCCTCACTTCTGACGTGTTGATATGTTATGACTTTGTGCGATTTATTAGTCCCTCTATGATATTCGTTTCACGCCAAATTACTTTGAAGCTTGTGTTCAATGATTATCTAACCTCTTCACTGAATTAGTCACTGTAATCCGGATCAATTGTCTTTACTGTTCGAACCTGACCTTCATGCTTGCTTGAGGGTTATTAAAAATTCGGCCTATCAAGGGTGAATCCCGAAAATCTTGTAAATGAAATTGCTTCAAGATCCCGCGAACATGGTATCAAAACGCCCGCTTTGTATGCTGTGTGCAAAATGTTCAATTAATTTAAATATCCGGTGTATGCGGTAATGAAATACTGGCGATATATCCCATTGTCGAGGGGAAATTATCAAGAAGATGTCAATTCTATTGTGCGAGATCAGAGACTCGCCTCCTTGTGCTGGTGGACTCTTGATGAATTTCTAATTGAACTGTACACACGAGCCCGAGATTGGTGCAATTATCTCCCCTTGGCTCGTAGTACAGTGTTAGCGGAATGAAATGCAAAGGAGCATGCAAATTGAGCGGTAAATAATGTGACTTTGACATCGGTGTCATCGCGATAGGTGCTAAAAAAGGTGTTCTTTCTGTGCGCGCCTCTCTTTCTCACCTTTTCCTGCTAATCACCACATGGAGGTGCTTATCTGGGTGCTTTTTATTCCACTTCCTCGGCCCGAGAATGCCATTTGTTGTGTGATTTTTTTCGGTGACTTTGCGCTGCAACAGTGACTCGTCAATTGGACTCAATTTTGCTTTCAATTTGCACAGGGTCAGAGTGGGGTCAGGGCCGCTAATCTCGCGCACTGTGGATGCCATTAGACGGGCACGAAGGGGCGTCGCTTGGGTGTATTTAGAAAATATGTTGCTGGACAGACGCAGAACACGCACTGGATTTTAGAAGGAGCGCGCGCGTAGGAGATAATGGCATTCCGGATTAGTGTTCTTCTAATGGGGTGGAGATGGAATTTGAGAGCCATTCAAATGTGTTGTTCGCGAGCAATATTTTGCAATTGTAGCTTGTCTCTGAGCGCAGGCAAAAATTGTAAGACATTCTCCAATGTTGTTTATCTTTCTCTCTCTCTGGGGAGTTACAAGACATGTAAAAAGCACTGGCCCATTGTTGGCTACACACACACGGTGTTTAGAAAAGAAGCTCAGTAAAAAATCACACACCATCGACTCAAAGTTGCGCACGAATGGAATGCAGGAAGGAAAGGTTGCTGGTGCGCAAGCTGTAGTTGAAGAGAGCGAAAATATATATTCATTCAGTGAGTCTTCTACGCCAATTTATGGAGCCATTCTTCACTCTCGCGCTGCTGCCACACGCGCGGGTCTTCTTAGATAAATTCAAACAAAGTGCTAAATTGGCGACTGCCTCGAGACATGGCGAGGGAAATGAGCGACTTTGCCTTCTCACCACCACCGGAAATTGATTCACATTCTTCACTTTGCATTTTAAACACTCTTTCCCTCCCATCGTGCAGCTTTTTTTTGTCTGCGAAGCTTATGGAGTTGCTAAAGTTGAGTCCGGCCGAGCAGTCGTGAAAGTGTCTCTGCCTCGAGAGGCTTGCGATAATGTACATATAAGAAATACGAAGGGAAACAAGGTTAACGTTTTCTTGTTTTCCACTCATCCTCTCGTGGCCAAATGTTAACTTCCTGATACAATATAGCCAGTGCGCTCTGTGTTGAGTGTTCGAACGTGATTAGAAAGGTTTGTCAACACTCCCTTGAATGGTGAATCACCTGAAGAAACCCTCACACCAGCGTGTAACGTAAAAAGCACAATACACTGCGGGCCAATCCGGGTGTTTTGATTCGAGTTTTCAGTTTGAGAATCTCGTGGAGAATCTTAGAAGGCAACCTGGGATTATCCAGTGTGTTGAAGCGCGCGCGCGGGTATTAATCAAGAGAGGAGGAACAATAAAGTATAATTATTCTATAGGAGTGATGGCAATTTATTGAAACAATTGAAATCACGAGTATCCAACGTGTTGAGACTGTGTAATTGAGAAAAAAACCTCAGCCAGACATCATCAAATACACACACAGAGAGTAAAAAAAAAAGATCTGCAATGGAATTTCATGAACTCCTTTAGCCATACTGTCAAGAAACGTGATTTATTTGCACAAGTAGCCCAGCAATTCAGCAATTTTCCAAAATGATCTCTGACACTAAAACTTCTTTTCTCTTTTCCAACTTTCAGATCGATAAAAATCTGCGCAGAATTGGGATCGAGAAATCACAAAGTGGCACCAAAAGATCCATCGAAGAAAAGTGTTAAATAGGTGAACATGCTGAAGTGCGGTGAGGAATTCACCTGTGGATGTTGAATCAAGTGCAGTCAAGCTGAGTGAAGAATCCCGCGGGATCGCGCAATTAAGAGTGTTGAGCAAGGCGTGGAGCTTCCTGGTACAATAAAAGGCAGCTCGCCATCGAGTTTTCCATCTCACCAACTCACCGTTAAGTGGGATGTTGTCTTCTCCTCTGGACTATAAAATTAAAATAGGCACCTTCAGCCAGTCTAAGTGCCCTTTTCACAGAATAACATTACACCTCAGCGGCAAATTGAGAGTGTGGTTTTGATTTTTTACAGTGTCAATTAGCGACACGAAGTAGACTGATTATCTGAAGTGTGGTGAATTGGTTCGTACGGCAATATAAAGAGACTTGTTGGATTGTGTGATGGGGAAAAAGTGAATCTCTGCTGGGGAAAAGAGGCCGAAAAAACAAGTAGATTTTCTCTTCTGTGACTTACTAGAACAGCCAAGTGAGCGGAGGGGAGAGAATAGTGTATTAATTTTCATCGCAGAGTGTACAAGTCGCGCGCCAAAAAACGGTACCACCCATTAAAATACCATCATAATCGACAATCCAGCGTGGATAGTATATGCATTTGTCGTCTCACCGATAAAACACAATTACGCGACAGTGACCCAATTTGCCGGTGTGCCTCGAGAGAAGAGTACGCGTTTTCCGTCCTATGCGGAGTGCTAATCAACACGGGGCGTGTTACACAGTTAGCTCGGCAGCACACATTTATTCATCAGATGCTCATAGCTGAAGACCTGAACGGGCAAATTCCCGCTTCGATCCACCAGAGAGACGGCATACAAAGCAGTGGCAGCAGTTAGGCCACGGACGTGAAGGCATCTGCAAGTATCACAAATATTTCACAACATATTCACTTGGCACTGTTGGTAGATGACCAAGGAGAAAATTGGGCTATCTGAATAGTAGGATCGGAACAATTGACGGAGACAATTGGGCGCATTGTGGAGAGAGTTTTGAAAGCACTCAAGCATTCCGATGTTGCTCTTTGAGGAGAATCAAGCACAGACTATCGGAAGTGGTACGATGACGTCGAATGCAAATCACGAAGATCGCGACGAGGTGGACTTTGTGCGGACATATGGCAGTGGTGAGAAGAAGACGACAACTGATGTGATACATCACAGAAGCCTCCCACAATTGCTGAAAGAGATCACAGCCAAGGATGATGGGGAGAAGAGGAAAATCAAGTCTCCACTAGAGAGACTGCCCATCTTCAAGAGTCACGCGAAGAAGGGCACACAATCCTGCGTCAAGGATAGACCAAAGCAAAAGAACGGCACTTCGATTGCCGCTCGCCTCCTGGGCAACACATACAACACAGCCACGGCGACGACGAAGAAGCGATCGTCGCTGAAGCGATCACAGCCCGTGTCCAGGACCACCAACACCGAGCGCTTCCACAAGTGTGTCGACGTTGGGGGCTTCGAGGAGGACACGTACAGCAGCATCGCGGGTCATGCGGACCGTGACATCAGCGCCAGGGCGCTGCGATCGCTCACGAAGGGTCTGGGCAAGTTGCTGCGGCGGCGCACGGACAGCGTGAACATCAGCACGCCAGATCCCGAGTACAAAGTCTCCTACCTCGGCAACGTGCTCACCGGCTGGGCGAAAGGTAAGCACACGGCACATTTCCCAATCACTTTGCGTATATGATCGACTTTTTGCGCTCCCTTGCGCACGCACCGCGATGAACAATCACCGCGATCGCGATGGGAATTCTCATCTCGCAATTAACGGGCTTTGCAACACTTATATAGAGTCTGCCGATCGGTGAATGTCAAACTGCACTTTCTATTCTTCATCTCGCGATCGCGATTAGCTCACATGGCGTAAGACAGACGTCACCAGAAGTGCAGTCCGTGAATTAGCGGCGATAATTCACATCTCGCAGCAATTATGCATCCATGAATTGATCTGCCATTTCACTTTCATTCGCAAACGTGCGAATATAACGAGATCTCTCGTATGAGACTTTTTTTCTCACCTCTTCCTCTCAGTTTATACTTTCTTTGCATCCCGCATGCTTGGGGTTTTCCGGTCACAGCGTCCACCTCTCGCTTTGCACAATTCGCGTGTGATCCGTTTTTTTTGTCACTTCATGCTCGCGGTGAAGGAATTTTTATTTTTATGTCTTTCATCACACACACGCGTTTTAGTGAATGCACAGAGAATGGAGGGAATTGTCGTTCATTCGCCTCTTTTGGGCGGTGAATGTGTTGCTCAGTCTCTTGTCTTTTGATAACACAATGCATTAACATGCTATGATGAAGATGGAGAGTCTCTTAATCGGTGCTATGTTGACTATGAAGGTTGGGCTTGCGAGATGAAATTTGTTGAAATTTCACGAAAAGTCGCACTATCTTTTGCGTGTCGTAAATCAAATCCTTGGCACTCACGTGCAGTCCTTGCTTTTGTCTCTAACAATGGAATATGGGAAACACTTGAGAGTTTTTCTTAATTGAAAATTATTTAAATGAGAGAAATAAATTTCAATCTGAACGAGAAAGCCAATCATTTCATTTGACGTTTGGAATGTGCACACATTTCTCAATATCACCACTGAATCTCAATTAATGTGCGCGGATTAGTGCAAAGTGTATGGCCCCTATTGTTCCATTGTCTGCCTGCCAATCAGACGAACACACATTCTTCGGCGACTGTCGATTAATGTCAATTATCGATATGAAAATTGTTTTCTCTCTTCGTCACTCGTGCTGGTGCGATGATGGGAAAGAAGTGGCGTCTCTCCATGAGCTTGTACTTCCTCAGTGCCAATCAATTCCGGAAAGAGCGTTCCTCTCTTTGTGCCTTTCTGGGTGGATCTCCTATTTGCAATCATTGGCACCTTCCTCATTTCTATCGCACCTGAGGCGAGACCTGCTCAAAGAGCGAGATTAATCGAATCGATGGCGAGGAGGGAAGTGAATTGATGCAAATTCTCTTTCTCTCTAAGGTGGTGTCGCCCACATGGAGGAGTTGAGATAAAGCGCTGCATGTAATAAATATGCGAAGAAATGGAGTTGTAAAGTGGGATTCAATGTGTGTGACCTCTGGTTGGGTGACTCCAATCAAATTGATTTGTATAAATGCGAATAGCTAATATTTGCAATTGCACCACCATTTCAACGGTGGGTTTTCTCTCATTTTCTCCGCTGCGGACTTTTGCTGTGCCCGTGTTCAGTAAATTGGAAAATCCAGCAGTCTCCACACTGCGTGATTGCAATTTGTAATTTTTCTAAGACTTCTTGGTCATTCCCCAAAAGGGGAAATTCCATTGACAACGGAACCTTTTTCTTCTGAAACTATTATTGCATAACACATGTCTTCAGTATAGTTTTCACTGGAGTTTAAAATTGGATAAATGCTCTTGGTTTTGTTTGCTTTTTTCTCTGGCTAATCAGCCAGTTTCCTCATCATTGAGGTAATCTTTTTGTCTTTCTCGCGATGGGAAGTAAAAGTCACAATTATGATGTGTGAGATGCTGTAAATTCTTTTTAATGACTTTGAACTGGAGATAAAGAGTGGAGGATTGTTTTGCTTAAAGACTGAAAGAGCGGATAAAACAAACATCTTCCTTTCTCACTGTCTTATATAATCGTCATAAATCCCACGCGAAATGTTCTCTCGTTGTTTTGGACCAGTATCAACTGTATGATGGGTGGCAAGAGTGAGAGATTCTACAAGTTTTGTCGTTCCTTCGTTCTACCAATTTCCATTCATTGCTTTGGTGATGGAATTGCGGCGTTTAAATGCCTCTGTAGCATCTCGCGAAGAACTCTTGCCTTCACCATTGGGCGCCGAGAAATGTCGAAATACAAAAAAAATGATTGATATCTTGCTAATTTAAGTTGGTAGATCAAAAGAGGCAGCAGCTTTCGGAATTTGCTTCCATCCATGTTTTGATGCGGCAAAAAACGCAAACAAGCAAACATTTGGATGAAAGAATCTCTATCGATTGATCTCTCTTTTACCATTTAGAGATGATTCCGCGCCAACTCTCGTGTGGGTGAAAGAATTTCCACCCAGCCATGTGTATTTTGAAAGCAAAATAGACACAGGAGAATCTAATTAATTCGGTAATTGAACCTCTAGCATGTGAGATTGAGATCAATAATGGCAAAGAAATGAATGTTTCGGGTCATTAGAGTTCGTGATCTTACTTTGAGTGTTTCGGAGACTATGTGAGAGAGAGAGAGAGATAACATTCAGGCATCATCACGTGGCAAGCAATCTCCCATGAGAAGGCCCACTTTTGCTCACGAACTATTTGGTCTCCATCCGTGGAATGATATATGCGGTGGAGGTGAAAAAAGTGCATTGCTGCAACCTGCAACTGGTCAACCTTCACGTTTAAGTAAATAACTTCTGTGTTTTTTTCTTTGCATAATTTTACATCGTATACTTCAAACTGCCCAGAAAAGTGTCCAGTACTGCGACGAGACGTTAAGTAAGAGGAGCAGTTTAATAAAACATCGGCAATTGCCACAGTTGAGGACACAAAATTGATATTTCACAAATATATATGTCAAGTGATTTCGCGACAATCTTCAATTTATATGCAATACATCCTCCCTTTCTTTCACTTCATTATGCGCACTCAATAAAACTTTATATTAATTTATTTTATTGCCGCAATTGCCAAGTCGGCCACGGAGAACCGCACGCGCTGCATATGCGAAATATTGCTTACATACGCGCCTAGTAAATAGGAATATTCGCGCAATAGTTGGGCGAATGCTTTACGTGTTGCAGGTGAATGCCAAAGTTGGACAAAACTGGTCACTGTGCAGGATATTAGGTACAAAAAGTGACACTTTAGTGTGACTTGGCGATTACTAAACGGCTCGATATATTTAATGACCCAAAGTTGCTTATACACAATGTGAAAGCATTTTTGATTGAGAAACGCGCGATGCTCTTATGAGGCCGTTTTTGGGTATTTTATAATGCACTGCACGTGGGAAAGCATTTGAAATCGAATAAAACTATTGAATTGATGTTGCTGCTTAAGCAAGAATGATAACAAAAAAAAACTGATTTACCTAATTCATACATTCACATTTATCGACACACCTCGAGAGTTTACTAAAATCCCAACTGTTTCTCATTTTCACCTCTATTCCTGAATTATTTACTCCATTTCCGAATTACAGTGCTTGTGTTTTTCTGAATGGACTTCTTGCGAAGTTCTTTGAACTTTTTACCGATTCGAGCTCCGATATTATTCACTCACATGGAGTCGCTTATGGTAATGTTGGAGGGTTAATAAAGTGAAAATCATTTGCTTTTCAACATGCCATAAATCAAGGCAGTGATGTTTGAAATTCTTCACGAGAGGGATTTTTTAATATCTCATAAAATTCAATGTTGTACTTGACGTTCGGTAGCTCTGCGGCGATACTTAGAAATTTCTCAAATTATATTTGTAAATTCTTCAACTCCAGTGCGTTTCTTTCTCGTTTCAATTAAACAGCGAAGAGTTGGAGATTAATAGCGAAGCCAGTGCTCAAGTCAAGTCGTTATCAACTCTACCTGTGAATGATCTGTGAGAGAGCGATTTAATTGATTGCCATTAATTTTGATGTGGATGAGTTTTACTGTCTTAATGGAGTAAAAATGGTGGGATTTTATTAATGCTGCTTAAAATAGTCTCACTCTCCCCTATTCTCAATGTGTGGGGTTTACCTTTTTCTTTGCCTTTTATTGCACAGAAGTCGTTGCATACATAACTTCCATTTATACCGCATCGCTGATACAAAGTGTGCATTTTTACGCGATCTACCATTTGGAAATATGCAGCACTGTTTACGCATATTGAATGTGTCAGTGTGCGTAAAATGAGAGGTGAGCCGTTGGCAAATATTGCGATGATAAATTTACTAATGCTGTTCGGTGCATTCTGTCCCTGTCTCTCTCTCAGTTTCTTGCCGGAATGACGCGAGAGAAAGAGGCAAGAGTTGAATGAACCGACAGCACTACTGTGTACAACTCGTAGTAAAACATGGTATGTTTCCCTCCCAATATCACTGTATGTACTGTGAAACTTTCACTTGCAATTCTGTGCCATAAATGTGTATGAATATGTTGTGAAAAAATTTCCCAGAGACGATCAATGCGAGAGACAGAAGACGCGGTGTGTTTTTATGCTTTGCATAAATTTGTTAAATGACTGAAAATTGATCTATTTTGCGCACTCGCGAAGTGCAACCATATTTGGATCGATGACAATATGATACGTGTTTGGAGGAATCATTTGTTCGCCGCTAATTGCTGCACAGTTTCCATGCAATCCTCCACAATGCACTCTTGTGAGACGATTAGAGAAAATAGCTCACTTGCTAAGGTCTCTCGAGTGTCTACTTAAGAGAGATATAAGAAAATATTTCACAACAATCGATTGCCTCCCCTCTGAGTGCAACAGGTGTCAATTGTTGGAATTTTTGCGCAATGCTTGCATTGCAAATGATCTCGTCTGTGAGCAAATTGTCTCATTTTCAATGTGGGCGGCAACATATATAAAAAAATATTGATGCTTCGGAAGCCACAGTAGAGCTTCACGGGAGATTTTCTCCTTTCCAATCAGTCGCAGTCGATAAATTTTCACTTCACGTGTCTCCTCCTACTAATTAGCCAATTCCTTATGGTGTCACGGAAAGCCTCACCAAATCGTCCATCAGGTTAGAGCGGTGAGACGAGCTCTGAATATGCAAAATTGCGTTAATTTTCCATGTGAAATACCTCGTCCACTGTGAATTTGTGTGTCTCGCGAATGCAAATATCATGGAAAATGGCATGGAATTAACTCTCGTAATTAAATTAGCTCTAAATTGTGAGGCAAACATCACTTATTAGCCTCTTTTGTGTGCGTCAGAGATCGCGATCGTTATATGATGATGGTGTGTTTGCGACAAAATGAAGAGGAGACTTGTTGTTTTCCTTCTGTTTCGCACTATTCCACCTCCTCATCCATGAAGTGTGCGGTTCTGCTTTTAAGAGCAATCTCTTAACCATTTTTTTGTACATTAGATTTTTACAGAAGTCTCATGTTTTCGCATGGAAATGCTGTTTGTTGTCATCTCGAAGCGTCTGATATTTAATTGCGTGCATTCGTGTGACATTCGTCAACTGACTTCACATTTTCCTAAGAATTTTCTAATGGCATGTAATTTGAAGAAAAAAGTCATTGTACGCAAATGTTTATAATACGCTAAATTGATTAAACAATTAGCAACAAATTTCACACTGGCGAGTTGAAAAAAAAATAAGACACCTTTTCTTAATTAATGTCTGAACTCTTCTGGGTTTTTTTTCTTAATGGTTGTGCATGTTAAATGCATAAATTGTCATTTTTATTGGGTGACATCATCGCTAGAATAGATCACGATTGCGAAGTTCTTAGAAGCGATCGCACAGAATATTCATTCACGATTTCTGAGCGCGCTGGAGCTCGAGAATCGGCAATTGTGCAAGAGGTTTTCTTCTTTTGTCACCTCCATCAGTCAGTGTCGAGACATAGCACCAGAATCGAGGTCAGTGCAATTCACATCTTGGCACCTTGATTGACTTCTTGCAAACTTCTCCAGCGTCCGTGGCAGTTGTGGAATGGAAAAGAATGCAAAACGGGAGGAAGGCTCTGGAGCACGGCAAAGTGCTCGATTTCCCAGGGGGAGGAGAAAAATGATGATGATGATCTTTAACTATGTGGACATAATGTCAAAATCTATGCTTTCGTTTTTCGTGCATTTAATGCAGCAATTAAATTCAAGCTTGCAGCAAATTACTATATATTCCTCCCATGGTTGTGCACTGAAGTGAGTTCCATGAAGTAGAATTCTACCAACAAATTGCAGTGCCACGGCATAAACATTATGAAAATCCCATTCACGTGTGTGTGCCAATTGAAATGCATCAGAATTTGCAATTTTTCCGTCCAATTTTATACTGTGATTGTTTTGGGTCACAAGACATCGTGAAACTTGCAATTATGGATTAATAAATAATATTTAATGTGAAGTATAGAGAGAAAGAGTCCATTGTAATGCTTCAAATGCTGCTTCACATGCATTTTTCCTCGCCATCAACCTTATGTTTTATGTGTTGCTGGAGTGTATATTATTTTTACTCCACATATTTTGAGGGTTTGTCAATTGGCAATGCGAGATTGCTTATTGCCACAATTGCTAACTCTCCGCTACGTAATGCTATATCCCATTGTAATGTTTCCCGCCACGATTGGGACGTGCGCCGAGTGTGTAATGAGGAGGTGAATGAGGCGAAACGGAGACTTTTCTCCATACTTAAGCACACACATTAATGGCAGAAGGAGTGAATCTTAATGTGCCAATTAATCATGCAGAAACTGCATATTGACGTCCACCAATAATTACACACATGCATAGGGGAGCATAAAAAGTCCACCATCTCTTTTTTATGTAAGCGCACATCAGACTTTTCGCTTGGCGCATTGACGGGAGAGCGAGTGTTACGTGAAATCTGATGATGACACTTGAACACTGCGCGGATGATCATAATCGCGAGCGAGAAAAAAGGCAGGTAACAATCGTCTCGGTGGTTTAAAGAGGAGTTATGCAATTTAATAAGGCATTAAAGTATATTTGATGCCTGAGCGTTATACAATTCATGCGGTGCGTTTAGCGCCAATCATACTCAAATGCCTCCCAATCAATCAATAATATTTATTGGCCGATTCATTAGATCTCTGGTGGTATATCGCTTCTTCCTACAAGCGCGTGGTGTGTGGAATTGCGTTCGACTTTCTTCACAGCGATCTTTGGCATTTTCGTGGCTTCTTCACACCCTCGTGCCTTTCATGCCTTGGGGCATGATTTTGGAAGATGAAACATTTCAGCACATAATCGCAAAATGACCAAAGTCGAATCAATATTTTCCTTCGCACGATCGTCATTCGCGCCTTTGCGCAATACACATTTTCACATGAGATGCACTACATTTTGTAGTATATATTGGCCACACAATATGATGTCCCGAAAATCCACTTAAATCCAATTTGATCCATAAATAGTATTATACAATGTGCGAGGAAGCTTTTTGTGATCATTGCTGAAATTGTGTGAATTCCGCATAATGATTACCTTGAACGTCGTGTATGAAATTCTATTATTCAAACACATGAATTCACTCTCGCATTGCCTCTCAAGATCATTGAATTTTCTGGGCAAATGTTTAACCATTACAGTCTTTGTCACATGCCTCGGTCATGATACACCTTTGGGCCGTGTGGGTATATAAAGCGCTCGTGAATAGGCGCATGTCGTATGAAGAAAAAAAAAGTATCGTACCACACGAAATGTAATCACTTCAAATGGTGAATTCAGAAAAATTGCAAACACTGAATTAATAAATCACATTGTCTTATCGTGAGCGATAAAACAATGGGAAAGTGATAAAATATGTTCTTGCCTTAGCGGGATGTTTGACTTGGAATCATGAGTGTAAATACTTTTTGAACTTGAGGATTTGGAGGGGCGCAAAAAAGCGAGTTCAAATTAGTAAATACGCGCATCGCAATTTCCTCTCAGTCATATGCAAAATTGATATAAGCAATTTATAGTGATATTATAACAATAGGGGTGGAATAATCTGAATTTCACCGGATTTGTCCTGTAATGTTTCACACTCTCCGTACAGTTATATGCTTGTGAAGTTCAGACATGGTGATATTAAAGGCAATTTGTCTTTGTTAATATCAGTTAGCGGAGGAGCACGAAAATGCTGTAAATAAGTAATATTTCGCTGAAAATTTTTGTAAAAACTGTAAACCTTGTGCGCGGTTACAATTTGAACAGATAATGAAGAATTGCGACAAGTTTTTTACAACACATTGAGTACGGGTTTGTTGAACTTGATCATAAATGTGTGGTGTTTAGTTGTTTCCTATTTGAAGTTAATCAAATTTTGAGTCGTTTTCCAGTCGTAAAATATCATCAAACATCGCACAATGTTTCCGCAATCAGGTTTTCTCAATAGCTTCAGCTTTAAAAGCTTCTTTTCACCGAGACTTTAAGATGGAACATTATTACTCCTATGATAAACATTGTCGTCACTTCACAAACATGCTTAAATACATCTGCAAATTTCTCGGCGAATAAAAGCTTGGAATGTCTTGATGTTTATTTCATGCAGCGGATGTTTAAGACACAAATAAAGTTAATCATTTACCTGATTTTACTCTGCAATCACGCTTTTAATTAAAGCTTACTAATAAGATCGGTTAAGTCAACCTTGTTGATATATAATTTATATCGCGAAATTATCGTAAAATGTGCTCGTAAAGGCATTTCAATTTTCTTGAAAATTTTAATTATTCTCCCGCAAACGTGTCAAAAGCATGTATGAGTGATAAAAGGGGAGATTTGTGTTACAGAACGAAGTGTGCTTAAAAAGTAGTAAATTTGTGTATAAACAAAAAAGGAATTTCTCATGTTGGCAAATGCAATTAAGCAAAGGTAAACATATCGAGTGATGCTGTGTGCTAATCAGGGTGATTTAACACCCAATATCAACAAGATGAGAAGATGAGAATGATTTTTTTTTGCCGCAGGAAAAGGTTCCCGTGAGATAAGAACAATTGAAGTCTTGCTGATTACATTTTTCGGTATTTATAGTTATGGTGTCATTCTGAGAGCAAATATCGTAGCAAGAATGATGTGGAGGAGAGTGTGAGCAAATTGTGAAGCAATTGCATAACTTCTGCGGTGTCACATTGAAATGAAAAGTGGCAAGTCGAGCACATATGGACATGATCATCATGAGCGTGGGTCACACAAAAAAGCACACTCACTAATAGGATGCAATTAGTCAAGACAAAGTGAATTTGTGACAAAAAATGGGGGATATTAATTGTGGAAAATGCAAATTATTTCGACAAATACTCCAAACTCAATGGACTCTTGCAAATTGTAAACAATGTGGGAATTTTTCTACGCGCCAAGTAAAAAATGCTCATTGTTAGCATTTCTTCCATTCTGATGTTTATTTATTTTTTTGGCCCGCGCATACTTCTCTCTCAAGTCTCAATTGTCTGAGGGCATTTTACTTATGCGCGCTCCGCCTTTCCTTGTGTCTCTTGCAGGAGAAGGTTGCGTGGAGAAGCCCATGTCGACGCTGTGGCGAAACTACGTGCAGCACTACAAGCCGGAGGTGGTGATGAGGATCAAGGTGTCCTCCTCGGGCCTGAAGGCCACCACGAAGCAGCACGGACTGACGGAGTACTGGAGTCACAGGATCACGCACTGCTGCGCACCTGAGAACTTCCCGAAAGTCTTCTGCTGGATCTATCGTCACGAGGGCAGGAAGCTGAAGCACGAACTCCGCTGCCATGCCGTGCTGTGCTCCAAAGAATCCATCGCCAGAGATATTTCTGTCACACTACAGGTGAGCTTCAGCCTAATTGGCCGACATTTGATTCTCAACTCACGAAATGATGATAAGCGTGAGAATTCGCAATTCTAATGCGATTAACACCTCGGCTTTCGCATCACAGTTGAATACAATGAATGGATCTTTCGTCTCCTTTTTACTCATTAATAGAGTCTCTGGCGAGAGTTCACACGGCGCCTGAAGATTGATTGGCGAATTTAACATATTTAGCAAAAGACACAACATAATTGAACGTGTGTACAGGATTTGTTATGAAATATTAATCCAAAGTAGACAGTTTTTATCAGGAAATTTCATAATGAGTGTCAGAAAGGTCTACAATGTTTGTCTCGAAAGGAATTGCGCGTTGTCACTGTTACTAATCGTAAGCGCAATTATTTTGCTAATGTAAGCATGTTTATTGCTAAATGCCTCATTGATTTCAGCGAGTATTTGGAATTTTCAAATAGTTTGGAATAAACATGAATTCTGATGACCCCAGAGAAATCTAAGATCCGTTTGAATTCAAGATCAACAAACACAACATTATGTTTTTCAATTGTCTCTATGCGAATCAGTGACAAAAATTGATCAACTTTTTTTTTGAATGAATTATCAATTTTAGAATCTTTTAATTACTCACTACGAAATGCTATCTTATAATTTTTGATCGCTCAATCTTCATACATAATTCATATTGTAATTACACACTTAAAGGTCTCTCTTTCTGTGCGAAAGAGAGAAGAGTGAACCAATTAAAATTAAACATAAAGGGAAATACGCGAATATTGCACAATTGGTAAATCAAAAAATATTTCCATAGTGTTGAGCAAAGAAGTATCACTTCCCTTCCCCCAGAGCTTCATTATTTCCTTTCGTGCTTCGCATTTTAGTGCAATTCTGCGAATATCAAGCAAGCCGCCCGGGATTTCACTCCATTTCCCGCAATTGAGGTCACCCTAGCTAATGCCGCGCCTCTCTTTTGTCCAATTGCAGAATAACCTATTCAAGGCCCTGAAGGAGTTTCGGCAGGACAAGATTGCACGCCAAAATGCCCGTCTCAGTTTGGCCAATTCTGTGTACGACAATCCCACGATTCCGCGGCGGAAGATGATGCTGAGTGTGGGCGGAAATAACTACCGGCCGCCGCTGGAGAGATCCAAGTCTGCGCCGAAGTTGATGGCCATCGAGGAGGACATTGACGAGGAGGAGAACGACAATCAGACTGCCGCGGTGGAGGCGAGACCGTGCTGTCGCGAGGACTCGCTGTATCCGGCGATGACGCTGGGCAGGAGGCGGTGTCGCCGCGGACACTCAATCCGACGCACTGGGCGCCGCGGCATGAGCATCAAGGCGCCCATTCTGGAGGAGAACAACAACGACTGCACGGAGGAGGAGCTGAATGGGAAGATGGTGGATGAGGCGAAGGTGGGATTAGATACCAAAAATAGCTTTAAGTCACCCAATGTGGGCAGCGACGAGGACTTTGACAATCTGCTGGGCAGTGAGCCATTGATTGGAGAACTGATGTCACTGTTTGAGATGAAATTGCGCCCACCGCCAAAGACACTCAGCCTGTCGGATCTCCTGGACGCGGAGGAAGTGAAGGCGTCCATTTCGCCAGTGCCGATGAACAGGAGTCTGGATGCGCTGGACAAGTATTCAGACTCGGAGGATGAGACGAGCTTCTTCAGTCAAAACGACATTCTGGCAATGTTGAGGAAGGAGTCAGTGAGCACGAGATGCTCCAGTCAGAGTCACAAGCTCACGCCTGTGGCCGCTGGGGAGCCCGATGAGCCGCATCGCGGCGACAAGGCATCTCCGCAGAGATCACTGGAATCTCCGCCAGCGATGCTGCGACTGCCCGTGGGACTGATGCAGCTGGACAGCGATGAGGGCAGCATCTCGAGTGGCTGCGAGACTGCGAGCACAGTCACGGCCAACACGGATGAAAGTTCGAAGAATGCGTCTCAGGAGGAGGACGTGGTGATCCTCGAGCCTGTGGGTGAGAAGAACTCCTCCGCGTATCGGCGCAGTGTCTCATTCCCACCGGACATGAAGTCCCTAGATGCGATCGACTCTGATTCGGAATTCAGCGATGAATCCGGCTTCAGTGACTTCCAGGAGAACTCCCTCAAGACCCGCAACAAGGCCATCATGGCCTAGGTTACCATCTGTGAGGAGTTCGCAATGAGCGTAGCGCGAGCGATCATCTCTGAGTTGCATCGTAGATGAAATTTTTAATGTAATTGAATTTGTATTATTGATGTGATAGTCTTAACAGTGGGGCTGACGACTCGCAAGGACGAGGTGAAAGAGAGAGAGAGAACCCTCTGTTAACGCTGTTATCATAATAATTGCATGGGTAATGTTTCCTGATATTCTTGTTAGACTGCTGCACGTTGTTAGTAAAAAAAAAAGTATAGCAAACTTATGTACCGTAGATGTATAATGTTGAATTGACCTTTTGGTGTTGTAGCTCAAGCGAAGAGGTGAAATGTATGCGGATCACGGAGGGGATCGAGACCAAATAATACACTGAAAATAACTCAAATTTCAAGCTAATATCATGTAAGATTGTTATTAAAGAAAATTGTTTTGGAGGAAATTACACAACTTAAGTGAATAAATAGTTGTATATGATATATAATATTGTACCTTCAACAAAGTGGAATCTTGTATTCATACAATAAATTTTATGTACCTATGATATTCAGCGCTTTTCCGCTTTTTGTACCGATTCATCACGCAATCTGGCGATCAAAAAATTTTCCCTCCAATAAATTGTCATCAACTTTGGATTGTTTGCTATCGCGAGGCTAGAACTTCCTCAGTCTCTGACAAAGCTCGTCTCTGAGCGCCATCAAGGGCGAGCAAGAGTGGTCCAGGGGCAAAAAAGAGGAGCCTGACAAGACACAGATGATCATATGACTGATCGCGGAATAACAGTAAGCCAAAAACCTGAAAAAGACACCCATAGAAGACATAAATCTACCATCAATCAAGCTCAGTCTATTTTTACTCTTTTGGTGTTTTTGCACCTACATATCCGCACATAAAATCGTATTTTGATCAATGAAAATAAACAAACATGGAGATCAAAGCGTTTGCTTTTCCGCGATCACACCAGCGCGCCATCTAGCGATGATTTGTGGGGGAGCTTTTGGTTGTTCCATCACAGAAATTGTGGCTCAAAATGATGACGATTAGCATGAATGCGTGAAGTAGAGGCAAAACAACAAATCACCCACAATCAACCCAAATACTTGATCACGTTTTGGCCCAAATTTCCGCATGATAAATAACTCCATAGTTTTGACGACGTTGGAGATCTCAATCTGTCTTGTTTTGGCATTTCTCCATTGATTTGTATCACGACTCCGAGAATAGAAAGTCCAAATAGATCGATTTCTGATCATTCCATGCACTGTTTGTCGTGTCTGAGCTACACGATTGCTGTGCGTCTCGGCTAGAAACATCGCGAGAGAGAGAGAGAATTTGTTTGGCAAACATTGGCTCTCACCAACACAACGAGGAAGAGAAAAGAGCAACCTTGTTCATTGACCCACATTTCACACAGCAAGGACGCTGAGACGCACACAAGCTCAGCGGCGCACTTCTTCGCTCTCATACTCGATCTCCCCACCAGTTTCTCTCGCTGTGCATCGCAGTGAATTTTTCGTGATCTTCGAGAATACTTTTGTCACTCTCTTCTCTTTTCTCCGTGACTAGCGGGCGTTTTTCAGAACGCGGAGATCTCACGAACCGAAGACCCACACAGTCACACCTCTTTTCTCGTAGTTTAATTGAGGTGAAAAAAGGTGTACTTGAGAAATTTAAATGCTAAAACTGTTATTTAAATTTGACTGGAGTGAGAGAGAAGACGAAAAAAAATTGGGGACATTTCTTTTAACTCTTTGAGACCTTAATCATATTTGCTGCAATGTTTTTTTTCTTTCTTCTTCATTCTCTATGTACACTTGGGGAGGAGAGATGTGAAAAAGAGGAAGGGATTTTTATTGTTTAACGACTCTAGAGACACCTTTTTGCCAGCTTTTTGCCGCGCTTTTTGCCTCCGCCGTCGGTCAACTGTGTTAATTCGGCGGAGTTAATCCTCCTTGAAAAGGGGCACTTTTGGCTGAAGGTTTTCTGCTGATCTGCGCACAGAGAGACGCACACAGTCAGATTTTCAGAAGTCCACCAGTTCCGCCCTATTTCTCGATGGCGCGACAATTAACATCCGTCTTTTGTCTCTCGACGCCTAACAATTCTTTCCACTTTGGCACAGAGTTCTTGGGCTGCTGGACAACTTCGCGAGCTCTCGCGGGAGAAATTGTGTGGGAAATTGCGATCGTCTAATACAGATGTTTAGCTACACGTAATTAATTGTGTAGTAAAATGTTGCCCCATCAATTTGACGCGCCAATAAATTATTTCCTTTTTTGCAAATAAAATTTTTCAAACTCCGAGAGTGGAATTTATATAGTCGCGCTGGGCTGAAAATATTGCCACTCACAATTCCATCAACCAAACTTATGGCCAACAGTTAAAGAATTTAAAACTAAGCCAGCAAATGAGTTTCCCAATTAGCGATTGTGAAAAAAAGAAGAGCTCTATAGAGATTTTCCAATATATTTTAAACGCATTTTACAACAGCAACTTGCAATTCTGTATTTATTTTTTTTATTTTGTGAAATTCTAACATGCAAAATCACACAAGTATTTCAAAATGCGGCGCCTCATCAATAACTCGATAATTACTATGGAAAAAAAGGAAATTCATACTGAAAGAACTTGTACATATTTATTGCAAAATTCTCATCACGCAGAACATTATCTTCCTCTTCCATATTTTGCGCGCTTTTCAACTTGACTATATAAAGAATATCTCTTGCAAAATCTATTTACTTCAAAATGTATTCTTAATGAAGCATTACAAAACTGTATTGAATTGCAAGTGTAGTTGGGAAAAACTAATGAAAGACACAGAAAAGCAGCGAGTTAAATAATAATAATGAAAAATTGTAGAACAAAGTTGAAGAAAAAAAACTGTTTGCGACTGTTTTGAATGGAAAATTTGACTGACCCTAAATAGAAGAAAGTGATTGACTTAAGATGAATACTTACTAAAGAATTTCTCACGTCTTCCGCCTGTCCACCTTTTTCTGGCTTCTGATTAGAAAACAACATCCAAAATTACACACCTGAAAATTTTCATCGCAACAGAACAACAGACAACGGTAAGATTGCCTTCTAATTGTAAGAATTCTGGAAGCTTTCTTCACACATTCCCAAACTCCCCTTTGCGGAGTCTCTGGACAACGGTTGGTCAGCGGCAATTTGGGCGGATGAGTATGCAGAAAATGCTGCGAAAATTAATCATTTTCGCACACTTGCACGCTCTGCTCCCTTTTGACACCACCCAGTGGACTCATTAGGACTGATTGTGGCGAATTTTCATCAATTTCCTCCACATCGCTTCCTCTTGTGCCATATTACAAAATGAGCGCCTCACTCACTTGTTGTGTTTTTTTTTCAGCAATTTCTGTGTTAATTTTGAGAGACGAATTGAGATCTAACGGTACATAACTTTTACTTTTGCATTTTTCCTCAACCACTTGTAAGCCAACTTGCTGGCTTCTTTAGCGAACAAGTCGAACGGATTGAGGTGAGACAGAGAGTAATTTTTTTCGGGGGGAAAATACATTAATACGCTTTTTGCATGGACAATTTTAATGCCATTTGCAAGGAATTTTGATCCTCTGGACAATTCAGCTTGTGCGATGAAATATTGCGCTCTCAATTTCATTCGGAAGTCGCGGATTTTCTTTCCCCCGCCGTCAACACTGCGCCAAAGTGATCTTTTTTCGCTAAATAAGCCATCCCAAGTCGCGCAGATGATACTGTTAGAGTCTCCCATTTAATAACCACTAATTATTTCACACTGCGCGTCTCTGTGTCGTCAGTGAAACTTTCTTTTCCCCCATCGAGATTCCACTCTAATGTTGGATGCACTGTGATTTTTAATGTTTTTTTTTTATTTCCATGTTGCTTCTCGAGTCGCCAGAGACACCGCGATATGGCTCACAATAGTGCGCGACGAAGACGCGAAAATTGTGTTTTGAAATACCTTCTTTTTTTCTGTTCCTCTTCTTCAACACAAACAACCCATTCAATGCGTTATCACATGACATCATCAATTGATGGTGAGCATCGTGGAAAATTTGCAATATATTTTTTAAGACATGCAAGTTGTGCATCGATGGATAGAAATAATTTCATAATTCGTGCTCGAAGAAGGCAACGAGCACATAAATTCTTACATTGCCGATTGCCAACTAACGCAACAATCAATCAACTCCCACTCTTATCATCACCTTCGCGCTTGCCTGTCCATGATAGCGGACAAAGGATGAGTGTCTTCGGGGCAGACTTTCGTCACAGTTCTCTTTTTCAACACTGTGTAATTGGCGATCAGAGGGAATTTTTCTCATCTTGAGTGATTCATGCACGAATCATTACCAAATTCGTGAACAGTTTCAATAGGCAGAAGCCGCAGAAGCACAAGAAGTGCTCCTAATAGAGCAACACATCTTCAACTCCCAGAAATATTGTTCATTTTCCCAGAAGTAGATACTTGAAAATAAATCACAGTGAGTAAAAGAGAAATTAATCAGAAAATCTATTGAATTCAACGTGACTGAAGGAGTTTATGTTGAATCATTAGCATTTAATGTATGGCAAAATCATGCATCTAATTGCATCTGTGTTAAATCCAAATTAACATATTTGGTACTTATCTGATGCATTACAATGTGGAGCACTGCAATTAGGCAGAGCAGAAGAAAATATAGTCACTTGTGCTTTCCCCATTTGCGACCCATCGATTTTCTCTGTGTGTTCAGCAAGAAAAAGAGAGGAGCTTTTGAAGCAATTTGTCATGACGTTCTTTGTGGCAACTTGCAGGCATTCTCACTGGTGTGCAATATCATGAAATACAATTAAAAGTTATGGATTTTTTAGAAAGAAATATAAGACAGAGGAATTATGAAATATTTTACGCATGCTAAAGCACGATTGGGTGGTTGTTTTTTCATACTTCTTTTGCGATAAAAATTAATGAATTGGGCAATGCTTCGCCTCTTCCCTCGCCGCTCGCGCCCGCCATTGCAGAGGTGCACACACAGGAGGGTTCCTTGACTTACCTTGATACGATTTACCACTGCTTTTTGTGTACCTCTTTTTCAATATATTAGCCATATTTTTGCGCAAAAGGTTCGTCGCTTGCAGCAATTGCTGAGGTCTTCTGTTTCAGTTGCTCAACTACGCGCCGCCACGCGATGTGGATGAGCTAGAATTGCGATGCCCATGGCGCGAAGAGCTCCGGCGAGGCTTGGGCGGAAGACAAAAGACAGACTCGCGCAGATGGGTGTTCTCTGACTTCCTCAGCCCGCGGAGAGATGAAAATACCAAAATGACTTGCTACAGTACAAAAATCATTGTACATGAAGTCGCGCTGGCGAATGTAGGTTGTGACATACTTTTCATCGTATTAAAATACATCTTGTGGTGCGCTGCTTTCTTTACGCGCGCACTCAACAATAAGTCAACAACGCTATTGACTCTCTCGAACCAACACTCTTGCACGCCGAGTCTCTCGGCCACGATCATGGGTACGAATGCTGCGAGATCGCGTGGAGATCTCAGGCAAGATCACTGCCAAATGTCTGAAGCGAGGGGGCTGGCAGATTAAAAGATCAAGACGTCCCAGGAGGAGATTGAGCCTCGCACAGAGTCTACAAGATGCAAAGGAGCCATAATAACATGCCTTACCTTCTTATGATCTCTGCCAGTCGAGCTCTTTTGGGGCCTCTCTTCGGCACGAATCGACGCCACTGTGCAGCAATAATTGGTAAAGCGGGGCACAACGAGATTTCCAACTGATGATGCCCCACACCGACTTGGTGTTGGTGAATAGGTTGCTGTCTTACTTTTCCCATTTCTTCGAGTAGGCCGCCATAAGGCCAACGCGTCGGAGTGAGACGGCCCAGAGAGTGACGCCGTCTCGCTCATCGCGGCTAAATCCACACGACCAAGAAGACCTTTGGCGAATTTTCGCACAAGACAGAACATCTCACTGAGGGGTTCGTCGCTTCGGGCCATTGATGTCTTTTGTTCTCCATCCAATAATGCAAAAGTGTCTCTATGGTCTTTTTTTCTTACAACAGTTTAATTGGTCTCATTTGAAGATGCTTTATACACGAGTTTTCTCTCATCTTACATACAATTTCATCTAATCATTCCTTCAATATTTATATAGTTGGATTTGTTGCTCTTCGCGTCAATTTAAATTACAAATCTAGCCGTATTTATTATACAATAAATATTAACAGTTGAAAAACTCAGCTCTAGAGACATTTCTCAGCATTAGCCACTAAAAACACAATATATAATTACAATATTTTCTCTAATCGACGATGCCATTCGGGCCAAGAGACTTGTATCCGACTAGATGTCTCAATTTGAAGTGGTTTTACACTGATTTTCAATTCAAAATTCGTGTTAAGTTTCAAGTTTACATTATAATTACAAAATACTCTGCCAATGATATTGTCGATTCCGATGAATGTGAGATAAATATTGAAATTTTTCCGAGAAGTTTTTCAGAGTCGGATGACTAAATCTCCCTCTTCGAACAGCATCTCATGTGTACCATAACATTTTGTTCATCGCTTTTTCCATATATTCTCCTTTTTTACTTCTTCTTTTATCTAATTTAATAAATACTGACTTTGTTTCATACACTTAATTCAATTTCTTTCAATCATAACTACTCAACGAAAGAAGGAGATCTATTTATTCTTTCTTTTAACATCATTTGATATTCTTTTCTTATTGAATAACAATTTGAAAAATCAAATTTACCAAACGTTGTTAAAACAACCCTAACAATCATTTTTCTTTTGCTTATCGGAGAAGTTATATAGAAAGATTCCTTTTTTTGTATTCTTTTTTTTCTCTTACAATTTTTGACATAATTAAATAGCAAATATTTCCTTTTCTCTCAGCTAAATTAACACGAATATGAAGATTTCTATCACAATGTCTGTACTTTAATTGTTGCTTTTCTTCTTGTCATCTATTCAACTATAAGGGAAGATTGGAAAATTTTTGAGGATATCCAGTCAAGAAATGTAAATTTGTGATTTCCTTTGAAGTTTATCCAGACGTTTTTCTTTTTTCAAAATTTCTTTATCATTTTCCTAAAAATGGAAGAGTGACAAGAATATGTGAAATGTGGATGTGCAAATAAATAGCAAAATTCCAAAAAATATATAAACCCTAACAAAATACATTCTAAAAAAATGTGAGACACAGAAACACAATAAATTAATAAAGAGGAAAATATCTAAAATTGCAATACAATATTTGCTATTTATACCCAAAAAAATTTAATAGGTGTAATACCATTAAGAAGAGAGTAATAATTTACAGTGGAAATGAGAATTTAATATTTACGCAGTTTCCTCAATTCCTAAACTCAAAATGCTTACGCTCAACACAACACAACACACACACTTCTCTCTCTCTCTCTTTAATTAGTGTAATATGCAGTGGCCCTATTCCGAATTGATGCACAATAAAGCATACATTTCGACAGAGTCTGACAAAAAGCTTATTTTTTATGTGTTTTTCCGAGTTTTAGTGGGTCACCAAAAAGAGTGGGGGGAGGTGATGATTTTAGCCTTTGTTTACCTCTTCTCGCTGGCATGAAGAAAAAATATATATGTTTAAAAGCTCCCCAAGAATTCAAATTCAAATGACCGTAACAGATAATTAATTGCAAGCAAAGTGAAGGGGTCTCTTGCGATTCTCTCCCGTACATGTTTATTAACTTCAATAACAATAAACAGAGTTCCGAAATCACGCGGAAAATGTTGAAATGAATTAATTTCATATCATGTACGGCACGTCAAACCTGCACAGAGATGAATCACTTCTTCTGGCTGATGGGGAGGTGTGAAAATGGACTCCCGGCCACTGGTAATTACAATAAATTGCACTTTTTTTTCGTAGGAAAGTCTCTACTTAAGCACTAGAGCAAGATTAATAACCCTAACATGAACTAGGAAAAAAAATGTCTCTACTGTGAACCTTAATTAATTACCTAAAAAGAGATGTTACAACAGATGTATAAGCAAGTGTATTTTGATTACATTTGATGTGTAATTTTTTGCGCTGTCGACGTATTAATTGCTATATCTCATTGTTTTGTCACACGATGCGCGCATGTAATTTGTGGAGGAGGACAAGAAATTATTTACACTGCAGGCTATTTACAAACTTATTCACTTCTTCTTCCTAATTACAGAGACATTTCCTTAAAGACACTTAGCGCGAAACGACAAATTATACAATAGAAAATACATTTGTGTGTAAAATTATTTATGATTCTGAGGTACCTTTCATATATAGCACGTGTGTTCCCATCGTCTAACATAAATAAAAGTCAAGTCCCCTTTCACAGATATTACATCAAACACTAAACAGCCACAAATTGCTCATCATCGCGTCGACCCAGCATGCACCCAATGTGCCATGCTCTCCTCGGCGAGTGGGATGCGAACACAGAAATTCCACCGGAGTGTGTCACTAATATTACAAGAAAACCTCCGCGATCCACAGTCATTCACATCTGAGTATCCTTATCCTTGTAGTATCACACTGTTCTGGTGGTCAATCCCGTCCGATTCGCTTGTGGATCTGCTGGTGCTTGATCAGGTGAGCCTTCTGGCGAAACGCCTTGGAGCACACGTCGCAGCGGAAGGGCTTCTCGCCCGTGTGCGTCCGCAGGTGGACCTTGATGTTGCTCTTGTTGAGGAAGCCCCGATTGCAGATGTTGCAGCGGTGCACGGGCTTCTCCTTGCTCAGCAGCCCGCCCAGGTCGCTGCTGGCCTGATAGCTCACGGCGGACGCCGGCGTGGCGGAGCCGCCCAGCGACTGGCCCTGCTGCGACTTCTTCTGCGACCGCGACCGCTTGTTCTTGGCGCTCGTGGGGGTGGAGGTGGTGGTCGTGTGCGGGTAGTTGCCCATCAGCTCGGGGCTGCACAGGCCGTCCGACTTGAGCCCACTGCCGCCGCCACTGCCGCTGCCACCCCCGGCCATGTTGACCTGGTAGTGATGGGACTGTGTGTTGGGCAGGTACCTTCCGTTCAGCATGAGGTTGTCCGTGGTGGACACCACGGAGCCGGGCGGACTCGTGGACGTGGATATGAGATCGCCGCAGTAGGGCGTCGACGAGGTGGGTGCTTCGACTTTGATGGGCGGCCCGTTCTGCAGTCGGTTCTGCAGCAGCGGCATGTACCCGTGCGTCAGGAGACTCTGCAGCGTGCTGCCGGCCGTCTGGACGCCCGGCGAGTGCGGCAGCACGAACTCATTGATGCTATCCTGCTGCGCCACGATGAGTTTCCCATCCTGCTGCACGCACGCCCCGTCTATCCACGCGTCCAGATCCATCCACGAGTCTCGCGTGTCGTTGTTGTCGTCGTTCTCGATCTGATTGGGCACTGTCGTGTCGGCAATGGCGCTGCCAATGATCGCCGCAATGTCCTCTATTGAACTCATGTCGTACTCCGTCAGCTCCTTCGAGTCGGCATATATCCGGACGCTGGACACGGAGTCGGGTCCGGATCCGGCGCTGCCGCTCATCACGCAGCTGTCCGCCACTGAGTACATCTTACTATCTATCGCGCTGTCGGAGAACAGCTTTACGTCCTGCAGGCAGGTGTCCGGCGCGTCGGGATTGAGCACCGAGTCGGGCAGACAGGTGGAGGAGGACACGATATTCTGATCCGTCGTGCTGCCGCCGCCGCTGCCCGCCTGATATGTGGACTGGGAGTAGTTGTTGTTCTCCTCGGGTAGCCTCTGCGCGATGGCGTGGTAGTGATGGCCTGAGATGCCGTTGATCGACAGGTGGCCAGTGTAGCCCGTGAAGGGCGGCAGGGGCTTCAGCTCGGCCAGGCTCGAGTTGATCGACTGGGAGTTGAGCAGCAGGTTGTCCAGCACGTCCATGGAGCCCTTCTGCGCCTCCGAGTCACTGGGCAGCGAGTCCAGATCGTGCTCTAGAAGCAACTTGTGCCCCTCCAGCATGTACTGATCCTGTGACCCATTCTGACCTTGACTCCAGCACGGACTCATCAGTAAGCTCTCTACTTCCGATTCGTTCTGGGTGGTCATATTGCTCGAGCTGCAATACTTCATTATTGGTCGTATCTCGTGGCGATTCGTGTCAAGTGGTGCTCGATTCCTCCCAGTGAACTTGTTACCAGCAACACTATCTCTCCTGGCAATTCGCAAGTGAATCCACTCGGTGATCCAGCTGATTTAGTGTTTGTCAAGTGAGCGACTTCTTCGATGCCATATCTGGGACCATTTTTTATTAATCTGCAATTGAGAGAAAAACACATCTTGTTTTGTTGCAGAGAAGAAAAAAAAACACACACGCAAAGATCTCTTGGGGAGAAATGGAGACATGGAGGAATTGTGATGTGATCTTGATTAGAGGCCGCATGAATTTTTAAATTATGCCATCCGTGTATTACATTCAGCAACAATGCATATAATTCCATTGGAATAACAAAACATTTTCTAAGCGCTCCGCTGACTATCTGGACTACAAAATTGTATACGGCATGCATGGTTTAGTTGCTGTATGTGTGAGACTTATGGCTCACAACATCTCCCTCCCGCTAATCCACTTCTTATCTTTGGGCAAAAAGAGACGGCGAGCTGCGAAAGATCACAGCGAAGAGAGAAAAAATGTAGCAAAAATTCAAACTTGCGCGATACACATAAAATCCCCCAATAACAGCCATACAGAGAGACTATTGCAACAAAATTATGTGTACACGCTGAGCGACTATTAAATGAGCACACTCAATCTGAAACACCATAGATTACAATTGGGAGATGATCAATTGTGATCAATGAACTACGGTGAGGCGTACACAAAAAACCACCGATCACGCTTTATCACTTTACATGATCATAAAACAATGCACTATCGCCAAGGCAGATAATACCCAATAGTCAATGATAGACTCAACCACGCCGCTAAGTCGATCGCGAAAACTGTGTCGCGATCGCGATCGACACAGAGGTGCACGAGAAAAAAGAGATCCTCAGTAATTCACTCACAGCCCAGAGAGTTCATAATCTCAACTATTCTTCTCACTGCCAGTGAAAGAGGGAAGGTATTGTGGAAACAACTCTCTCTCAGCACAGTCTTCGAGACTCCATGCAAAATGGCAAAAGAATCAAAGATCATCTGCTGATCCCGTAAATAATACACCGCACATCGATCTCCTCTCTCATTCGAATTAATCCACCCAGCATTTGATCTCCGTCAGAATTCACATACATGCATATTTGTGAGGCATCCTAACCCGAGTATGGCATTTTCTTATATACTCTCAAAACCCTCTTATTAATTCCATCGCGAAACCGTTAAGACATTTTCGCCACAAGAAGGCACCAACTTGAGTGCCAAATTTGTATACAATGGCCAGAGAATGGGGGGAAGAGGAGTCTCCCCGAAAAAAAAACATACACATTTGGCGTGGGACGCGCTTCCTGTATGGACAATGTGGTGAAGAAGTTGAGATCAAATCACGCCATAACGCACTTTTATCGTTTTCCGCGTAATTGCTTTCTGGCATCCACGAAGTAACTGTGTATGCCCAAAACTCCGTGAAGCCATCCTTGTGCTTTCGAGGGGTTGGCATGCCGTTCATCTTCAGCACTACATACACCTTCCACATTTCCAGCTGAATTGCAAGATGAAGAGATTCGCTGAGGCACGTACAGAACATATAACATCCATTTTTCAGTGTGTCATCGCTGAAATATTCACGAGCGATCTATCTACGGGCACTGATCGTAATGACATGGATCAATCCATTGTCCCATGATATTGAACGAGAAAGAGAGGTTCACTGAATTTAGATTATCAAACACGGCCGAGTTTACAGTTCACACCAAATTACAATATCCTCATGAAAATGTAAATGGCATGTCTGCTGATAAAATATTCTGCAAGATCAAATCCCGAATGATCTCGCCACTGATCGCGAGAGACATGCCGCCGATCGTGGCATCAATGGAGGCTCAGTGTGATTAATTAATTCATCAAAATGTGTCCATTCGGACAGGCAATTAATGATGGAATATAATTTGATTCCGGCCACTCGTCGGTGGGTTTAGGCAAGGTGTTGAGCATTGCGGTAGTGCGCGATGTAGCGGATCTCTCAAGTGTCTCATCCGTGGTGATCTCTGAGCAGGCATTCTTCAGCCATCACCTCCCCTTGGCACTGACAAAGCCATCATAATTCCATGAGAAAATATTTAGAAAGACAAACACAATTCGAGTGTGGATTTAACCCAGATCGCTGCGGAGATCATTGTTGACTCATGATCGCGTCGATCACCTCATCCCGGAGGTGTGTGCGCGCTTGGCACCCTTCACGATCGTGCCCACATTGTGGAAAAAATTGTCAATTGAGCGTTGTGCGCGCGGAGACCCATATTGGCTTGGCGTGCTATCGCGGCTACGGCGGAGGGAGAGGGACTCGAAAGAGAGCGAGAAAGAAAAACAAGGAGAGTTGTGATCACCAGAGTTGATCATTGTACAGTATTCGAAAAAGATTTCCCTTTCAGTGGTGCCGCTATATTTATAAACACACTCTATTACGATTAACGGTACCGTTATTCGAGACCTGCTAACACACTTCCGTGATCATTTACAGAATATACTATCTCTTTCATTCGATCGTACGCGATCGCCAGCACAATAGCCATCCCTGTCGCACACCTGTGCAATCCACACATTGTGATTTAATTCAAATTTGGCGGACGAGATGAGACGGAGTGGCACGAAAAGAGCGCCGTGCGTTGAGGCTCTTGCAGATTTTTTGCGCCCGGCCCGGCCACCAGCGATCGCCGGTTCCACTCCACCTAACGGTGGATCGTGTAGGACCACAGAACCTATTGTTGGTGAGATGCGCGCGCGCGCGCGCGAAGGGTGAGGAGCACGCCCCCAACCATAGTGATCACGTTATTGTTACTTCGCCCATTCCGTTCTGCTAAAATCAGGCACTATTTTTCTCTCATCTCTGACTTTTATTTCACCATCGCACACCATCACAGTTCTGCACCACCATCCACTTTGCGTGATGAGCGCAACACTTTGATTATGCTTATGCTGGTTTATTGTTAATCAATTTGCCAGCACTGGAATTTACATTAAATGGCTCTCTGACGATGATGGAGTGCGATCGCGAGTGCTCAGGAGTGCATGAGGGTAGATCATTTGCGAATGCGCGCACAAAATTCGCGGCGCAGCGCGGTCCCCGGGGCAGCGCAGAAGTCGCGGGGACGCTCATGCTTAGTCACCTCATCTCACAATTAAGCTCTTTGGCGTACAAGGTGGAAATTGGGTCAGGTATTCTTCATCGTTTTCAGCACCATTTCCAACCAATATATCCATACCATATACCGAAACAGCACTAATTCAAAGGAGTGCAGCCTTAGTCAGGCAATTTGCAGCTGAGTTGCCAGTGAATTTTTGCTGTTTCTTTGGCTTTAAAGGAAAGCACTTCTGACGCTATTCGGTAACCGAATGGATGTTTACACCTGCTTAAGGATATTGCGTGGAGAATGTAAACAATTGATTGCAAATTTATCGAATACCCGTGTACAAATATATATGGTGTGTTGCAATGGGCTTCTTCTTGCATATTGGCACAAGAAATACCGAGTAATAACTCCTCAACTAATGGGCGTTCACAGCGCGGTGATTTTTGCTGAAACCACTAATGGCATTCATGACTAATTTGTGCAACTAATTGGAAAATATCATTGAAAAGTGTGCGATTTGAGGAACAGAGAACGGCCCATCGCCCAAAATGGCAAACGAGACACCCTCCGGGAGATGCTTGGCGGATGAAGTGGCGAAAAATGCTACATATCTAATGACCTCAATTTGCTTGGCCCTAAAAGACTATATATAACGCGTCACTTTTTTAACGGTACGCCATCAGCAAATGCATCATTCAAGAAACTCAACCGGCGCTGATGGTACTCGCGCTGGCCGAATTTTGCCAGACACTCCATTGTGCGGGTTCTGGGCGCTTCCAAAATGTACCGTTCGCGGTGCCCAAAAACCGTTCAGCCTGGCGGATGAGGCCAATACGCAATTTTTCGTGTCGCACGACGCACTCACGATCGCGCATCACTGCCTCATGATCACGATCAAGATCACATCCACACCAGACGAATCTCCAATCGAGAGCACTCTGTATTTTTATGCTTCTTTTCTCCTCCTCCTCCTCATTCTCTTTGAGAGGGAAGAGGGCGTCAAGAGTGGAGCCAAGAGAGTGCACATTTGTAGGGAAATTTATGCGTATTTTTTTTTCAAGTCGTCCAACAGATAACACTATTACCACATTAATGCGAAAAAAGAGGAGGAGAGAGAAAAAATATATGATTCAAACCTGCATTTTCAACTCCAACGATATTGTATCCATTTATATTTATCGGAAAAAAGAAAAAGTTATAGCTTCTGCATAAATCACACGTGAATCTCTGTTTCATCTGTCTGTTCAACTATTGATTCTTTTGTAAGTTATTCCATCACTCAGCAGTGGTAAATCACATGTCCCGCGTCGTTTGCAGAAAACACCAAAGATGATCACTTTCACCAAAATTAAAATGATCATCATTGTTTGCTGTTTGTGGGCATCTTGGGCGAGTTAGTGTTGTTAGTTGTTCAACTTTCAAACATGGATATGAGGGTTATTAAGGGGGATATGAGAGAAATAAAAGCTTGATCTACTCTGGGTCACTTATGTCTACAATCTCACACTACAGTACAAGAGTTATTAGGATTTGTGCTTCTTTTAGCAGGTACTTGAGTGTATAGCGTTATTGTTGCCTCTTGCGGTGAAAGAAAATGGGGAGCAAATGCGGAGAAAATAGAGACAATGGCATGCAAAACAGCAGCAGAGATCACACAAAAGATCACCCAGCGGTGGCAAGATGGTCATGGAGGTGCAACAGATATCATAATGACATATAATAAAGAATCAACAATACTCACAGAAATGGAAATTGAAAATTTTTGTTCAGTGGATAGATCACAGATGCAAAGTCCCCAAGAAGAGAGAGAAGAAGAGAATTAGGCAAAGTGTTAATTCTTGAGGGGG